AGTTCTTTGACTGAAAGGTCTTAACATATCTTTCTTAGATAGGTTGAGATAGAACCGAGGTGGTGCAGTGGTTAGAGTGCAGTACTGCAGGCTACTTCAGCTGACTGTTAGGTGCAGTTCAGCAGTTCAAATCTCACCGGCTCAAGGTTGACTCAGCCTTCCATCCTTCCGAGGTGGGTAAAATGAGGACCTAAATTGTTGGGAGCCATAGGCTGACTCTTTACATCGCTTAGAGAGGGCTGTAAAAGCACTATGAAGCGGTATATAAGTCTAAGTGCTATTGCTATTCTTTATCTTCTTCTTCTTTATCTTTATTTGATTTATATACCGCCCTACTCCCGAAGGACTCAGGGCGGTGAACAGCCAAATGATAAAATACATAAATACAAAATTTAAAAACAGAATAAAACCGAATTAAACAATTTGGCCCAGACAGATTTAAAACACCCCAATCATTTAAAAACAGATTAAAATTTTCATATTAAAAATTTTAATATGCCTGATTGGGTGTGATGCAATGAGACAAAGATTTTTGTAGATTTTTCCATGGTACTTATCAATGACCTAGATCCACAGGTGTGATGTTTCCCAACTTCAAACCATGGTGAGGCAGTACTAATATCTGCAAATGTGCATATGTGGGATTACTAAAAAAAATATTCTTGATAGTGTGATCCGAGACGTTTTCTGATTAGCAAGTGTTATGCACCTGTGTAAATACAAGGAAAATGGCATCTGGAAAATTGGCATTCTCCTCATTCTCTTAATATAGCCCTAATAAACCATTATGGGGAGGGCTGTGCATGACTGAGTCAATATTATTGCTGAAAGTTAAGCCTACATGTCTGGAAGAATGCTACGTTTACATTTTATTTTTATGATTCTGGATGGACATGAGCCCATTCTGGTCTGATACCCAGTTACACAATTGCTATTTTTGTTCAAGTGAATCTCCTTAAATTTTAAAGGTATTCTGTTCAAGTGCCACTCTGTAGTTTTCTTCTAGTAATTTATTTTAGGGACATGGAAACTAAATTACCCCCATTGTTTTACAGACTCCATAGGACCTCATTCTCATTCTGACTTTTGTATGTCAAACCTCCCTTTCTTATTCATTTTAGTGAGAAGTTGTTTTCCATACAAATTAAAATAACCAGCATGGTCCCTCCAATCCAGTTTTGGGTTAAAATTGAAATGAGGATTAAAGTCTTCATTTTCTTCATACTAAGCTCCCAATTTGGAGTGAGCATTGGCACTGACTGTTTGCAAGTAAAAGTAATGTGCACCTAAAACAAACTGTTAGAGAAATATTGTATGCAATTTTGGCATTGGAGTGCCTATTATTATCTATATAAATAAAAATGTAAATGTTCGTTTGTTCAAAATCTTAAATCTCCGAAAGTTCTTCACCGATTGCTTTGAAATTTTGATACAACATTGCATTCGAATACGTGCGTGTTTTTATATACCTATATTATATAGATGTCACACCCGTGACAAGTAAAAACATGCTTTTTTTCAAAAACAGTGTCATCTGTTGGACATAAAAGCAACACACGCTATAGTTCCAAGAAAGCAATTGATTAAGCGACGTTAAAGTCCAAAAAGAAACGTAGAGAAAGGCAACTCAGGTCTGAATCCAATCAACCGAGTGAAAAGACTGGTTGGATGGAGGCAAAGCAGGCGTGACCTGAGCTACAGAGGGAAATTATTGGCACTCGGTCAAAAAATATTGTATACCCACAAGACTGAGCCAGCGCGTGTTTTTATATACCTATATTATATAGATGTCACACCTGTGACAGGTAAAAACATGCTTTTTTGAAAAACAGCACCATCCGTTGGACGTAAAAGCAACACACGCTATACGCAGAGCCCACCAGTCTTTTCACTCTGTCGATTCGATTCAGACCTCAGTTACCTTTCTCTTAAGTCGCAGCACCACAATGGCAGGTGCGAGCCAGGTCTTTTCCCCTCAGCGCCGCCGCCGCCAAACCCACAAGCAAAATGGTGGGAAATGTCAACCGCCGTGAAGCGTCCTCCCGACTAACAGAGTATGCCGTTATGCTAGTTATTATATACACCAGGAGTGTCAAACTTGCGGCTCATGGGCCAGATGCGTCACGTGTTGGTCACGCCCACCCATTTTAGTGAAGGGGAAAAAAGTTGCAATACATCATGTGACAACAATGAGACACCATGAGTTTGACACCCCTGATATATACTAAACTTCTCTGTTGATATTTAGATTATAAAACTTCTACTTGGGGGAAATTGTTAGAGTCTTTTCTTTGTCGAAAAGATATTGTTTAGGTTAGGGTTAGGGTTATATATACACACGTGTGTGTCAGAGGTGGATTTCAGCAGGTTCTGACCAGTTCTGGAGAACTGGTAGCGGAAATTTTGAGTAGTTCGGAGAACTGGTAGTAAAAAATCTGACTAGCCCCGCCCCCATCTATTCTCTGTCTCCCAAGTCCCAGCTGATCGGGAGGAAATGGGGATTTTGCAGTAACCTTCCCCTGGATTGGGGAGGGAATGGACATTTTACAGTATCCTTCCCCTGGAGTGGGACGGGAATGGATTTATTTATTTAGCATATGGCTGGTCATACACAGTATTAAAACACTTCATTTTTATAGGTTAAAACAATTAAAACAATCAAAAAAATAAAAACAGTAAGAAAACCTAAAAGGAAAACAGAAATAACATTTCAGTGTTTAATGTCGAGTTTGGAGATCCAGTCAGTAGCTGTCGTTGTTATGCAGAGGAAGTCCCTAGAATCTCCTGGATACCTTCTGTTAGAGCATTCCCTCACTATATGTTGGATAGTCGGTCGGGAAGCCCTGCAGTCACATTGTGCTGAAGGTGTCTTTCCCCATTTATACAAGGAGTCGGCACACACCCCATGAGTCGTTCTAATTCTGTTATATGTCACCCATATGTGTCGGGGTAGGTTAAATCCTGGAGGTATACTATTAGGATTAATATGCTCAGAGATATCTTGGGGGGAATAGCTACTCCACGCTTCCATCCACTTTTGTGTGGTGTTCTGATGATCAGCCATCAACTTAAGCGCTGTCAAGAGTGGTGGGTTTCTTGACTTTAATCGGCATCTTAAGAGATCAGGAATGTATCCATGAATGGGTAGAGAGGAATTTAACAGAATCTTACTATACTCCCGAATGAGAGCTTCTTGTCATCGTAAGTGCAGGGGAAGTATGTGACTAAGAACTGGTAACCAGTAACTAGGTGTAGATTTTATGCACCCAGTAATTAGCCTCATCGTATGGTTAAGTTGAACATCAATAAGTCCTGTATGTGAGCTGTTTATCCATACAGGTGCACAGTATTCTGCTGCAGAGTAGCAAAGCCTGAGGGCTGCACATCGGAGAGTTGGGGCTGAAGCTCCCCAAGTTGTTCCGCATAGTTTTTGTAGGATGTTATTTCTGCTGTTAACCTTGGCAGCCATATTCTGAAAGGTTTTCAGGGTCCTGTCTAAGGTAATCCCCAAGTATTTTGGTGTTGCCTTGTATGGGAGCAATTTATTGTTTAGATATACATTGAGTTCTCTTTTTGCCAATTTGTTGTTAAGGTGAAAACATAATGTAACTGTTTTGTAAGTTACTCGCGTCCGTGGCAATCCTTAAGCCACACGTGCCTCCTGGGTGGTGCTAAATGAGTAACAGACAGACTGGTAGCCAGACATCCGCAAGGATCTCCTGGCTTCACAGACAACCCCACGGTCCTTTTAAGGACCTTTTAAGTATATATATATAAAAAAATAGAAACAGCATAAATGGGAATGGAGATTTTACAGTATCCTTCCCCTGCCACGCCCACCAAGCCACACCCACCAAGCCATACCATGCCCACCAAGCCATACCCACAGAACCGGCAGTAAAAAATTCTGAAACTCATCACTGGGGGATGTGTGTGTGTGTAATTATTTATTTAAAAATAATAATCCACTTAATAGTAGGGGATTTATTTTTACTATTTGAATTGGCATAAGAATTTTGACTATGCATGATTCTCCATTAAACCAAAACCCTTTCTAAATAACACAACGTAGTAAAAGAGTCCAAGGCTTTTCAAGAGAAAAAGACCAAAAAGCGTTTCAAAAATACTGGTACTTTGTCTGATAATTGTAGTTGTGAGAGAAATAAAGAGCACAGCACTTTATACTGATAAAATACAGATTACTTTGTCTTGAAGGACAGAGCCAAAATTCCTCATTGGTGCAAAATCAAAACAAGTTGAACAATGCACCATTATTATACAATACTACCCATAACCCAGAACAGAATTTATTTCCTATTATATATTCCTATATGGAATTAGGCCAACAGACCTGACATTTTAAGTCTATTTAAACAAAATTGACAATACATTCCAGCATTATAACATCACTTACTACTATTCTACTGTCATTTAGACAAAAGTCCCTACAGCCCATTAGTTTCATAGATTTTATATTTAATTATTTTCTTTAGAGCAGTTTTTCCTATGATGGGTTATAATCTTGGATCAGAGTAGAATGTACCATTTACATATTTGGATCATAATAATACAGCAGAAAAGATCAATATTTATTGTAATGAGTGAAGGCTTTTCTTTTAGTCCATACTACTGAATCTGGAATTGCTGCATTCTTTTTTTTAAATCTAAAATGCATTATTTGACTCTTTTAACAAAATAATTTGATATAGTTTCCCTCTCTATGCTGTCCAAGTTCCATTAGTTCTCTGCTTGTAATGCAAATTTAGCAGAACTTGTGCATTAAATAATATCCAAATTATTATGCATTTTGTTGTTCTAAATACTGAATGATATTTGAGTCAATTGAATAAAACCTAGATATAGTAGCCTATAGCTTCACAAAATAGAAATATAGACTTAGTGTATTACCAAATGATAAGAATAACATTTAACTTTGTAATAATGATGGATAAAAACCAATTCCTATTTTTACCAATGTGATTAAATACTCAAAAACAGAATGTTTCTACCTATCTTTATTTATTTCGCTAGCTTGTTAAACTAATTAAGCATGATGAATTAAGGCAAAAGAGTTGTAAATGTCCCCACATCAAATCAAAGTGAACCAGATGACAGGAATGAGGACGATAGATAAAAGCACAACAGTGAGAACATTTAAACATTGAATAATTCAATTCTGCAATGCAATCATGTGAAAAATTGTCATTATTGAGAAGGATTTGCATGATAAGACCATGCATTTAATTGCATTCAAGCTGCTATTCGTTTGGTAAGTATGAATAGCCCAGAAAAATTATTTCCATGTTATTCTATTATTTTTATAGCAGCCTTGGTAGCAACGAGAGGAATAATCCAGTGCTTTGCACACGAGTATATTGCAGCGAATATAAACTGTAGAATAGTTGTTGCGCAAAGTGAACGATTTAAATCTGAAGCTGATGTTTCTCCTGTTCCTTGAAGAAAAAAGTTGGTATGTACTATCCATTTTGCATCTGAAAGAGATGGAACAAAGACAGATGTTATTTTTTGTTAGAACCTGCACAAACACAATTTCACTGGCAACATAAATTTTGGGTTCAATTATGGCCATAAATTGTAAGTCGTAAGTCGAGGACCATCTGTATTTCTTTCATACAGGGCATTTACTTTTGTATTCATCTGCTTTCATTCAGCATCCATTCATTCTTGATTTTATCTCATTTTATTTTACTTCACACTTTTTAAATAATCCATTAATTTAATTTAAAGCCAGTTTAATTTATTTTGACAAGCTTTAATTCCCCACAATGCACTGGATACTATCTATTCACTTTCTAAAATATTTGCTTGAAAACCACATAAGGCATAGAGGGCACGGATAGTTCGCTCTCCTCTATGTTTATTCTACTGAGATTCTTAGGTTGTTCCTAGCAAATGAATGGATAATAATTTTATCTATCTGCAAATAAATTATAACAGGAAGTCAGTAAAAATGTAATTTCATGACAACAGTGACTGAGTTTGGACTATCACATACATTTGGTAGATATCTTTTAAGCCATTTGGGGAAAATTGTTCTGCATTTGTATATATGTTTGTGTTGATCAGTCATTTTCAATTTATTCTGCATTATTTAGCAATTATAATTATCTACTTGTCAAAATTGTGAAATTTATGATGCATTTGATGATCAGGAAAGGTTTTCACGAGAGAGTTGGAAACAGATTAGAGACTAAAGATAACTGGTATATATAACAGAAAGATTAAGACCATGTTGGCAAAAATAATGGTAGGATGGATGGTATCCAATAATAGATTGTCAAATGAGCCAATCAAATCTAAGTAGAAATTATAATATTGGACTAAGTTATGTTTGGTGTCAAGAAACAGAAGGAAATGGAGCAGGAGGCAGAGAGAATGACTGACGAACTTAAAGCACTTTTCAACATCATGTTTTGATCCAGATGTGCTGGACTGTAACTTATCTACTCCCTAGTTATCATGACCATGGCTGGCTAGAAGCTGGTTATGGGAACTGAAGTTTCACACATTTGGAAAGCATCAGGTTGACACAAGCTGATTCAGAGGCATTACAGGAAAGCTTCCAGAAAAGTATTCTGGAGATGCAGATAAAATGACAACAAAATGTATCTAGATACAATAGAGAGGCAAAAAAAGTAATGATTATGTGAAGAAATACTGATTTGTTAGCCTTACCCTCTATTTATCATGACATAAGTTTCAGTTGTGAAGTCGTAACGATTAGGGGATGCCACACAAGAGTCCATGAATAATATCAGATTTCTATCAAAGCTGTAGAGTGTGGCTTGGATGTATGCATTCTGGTTCAGGTTCATAAAGTAACCCATGTTATTTATTGGCTGTTTAAAGAAAGGTGACTCATAAAATAAAAATTCCATATGAAATCTTGGCCCTTGGTTTGTGCATTCAAATTCATCAATGTTGTGGGTGACTTCCATATTTTTGCTGGGCTCCATTTTACAGATGAATCGAAACTGAGGATTTACACCATTCCCAGTGCTGCTGACGATACTGGTGAAAGTGCTTATCTTCCCATAATTCTGTTAAAACATCAAGCAAAATAAATTTAATAATAATAATAATAAAAAATATATATAAAAATGCAATCATTTTTAAAACATTTGATCTTCACCCATGATTTAGTAGAAAGAATTGCTGCAATAACCGTCTATTCTCCTGGAAGGAGCTAAAGAATTAAATAACTTCAACGGTTTTACAATACAGTTTTGAAAGGTAGTTCTTTTACGGTAAAAATAGCAGGGACGAGAGTCAAAAAACAGAGTAATCTTCAAATTGTATAGCAAAGTGCCTGCACAGAAGCGATAGTAAACCAGAAAGTCTTTACTCCAATTTTTAAAAATGGAGAGGGGAGGACTGAAGAATCCCCCATCCTCTATCGCTTGCATTTTTGCAGTGCATCGACTCGTTCTTCTGAGAAAGATAGGCCATTTAACTGCTTGTACATTTTTTGAAAGACTGAGAAATGGTGTATTATCATTTCTGAATTAATAGTACACCTGTAAGAAATATAATAGCAACCCACTTTCTAGGTAATTATTAATTAATTAATTAACTCCAAGGTTAACATCAGACCAACAATCAAGTAAACAATACCCCAATCAAGAACCTGCCAAAGAAGCCAACAGCAAACAGCCCAATCAAAGAATCTCTATGACCACCCCCACCAACACTGTCAGGCAAGCCACTAGAATATAAACAGACAGCAAACAGCACTTCTTACTGATGATGTTACCTAGTTTGGGTAATGAAGTGTCTGCAAGCTCAGAGAGCACCAAGGGCCCCTCATGTCAATTCAGAGCTATAAATATTCTCCTTTATTAGTATTTAGAATGAATGCAAATAGACTATTTAGACGCATTTACATCGATAAGAAGGAAACCTCAGTCACCTAAAGACTTTTACCACATCACTTAGGCTATATAATCTATTACTATCTATTATTATCTGTATGACAAAATCGCTCAGATCCGAGGGGAATTGGACTCTGACTGGGTAGATTCGGGCAGGGTGACGAGGAATAGTCTTGAGAATGTTATCTGGGAAGAGTTTGACTCTGTGACCCCTGATGACGTGGACAGGATTCTGGGGAGACTTAGTGCAGCCACATGTTTACTGGACCCGTGTCCCTCCTGGTTAGTACTGGCTTCCCAGGAGGTTACACGAGGCTGGCTCCAGGGAATTATTAACGCTTCACTGAGTGAGGGTTACTTCCCCATGGCCTTGAAAGAGGCGATGGTGAGGCCTCTCCTCAAGAAGCCTTCCCTGGATCCGGCAGTATTAGCCAACTATCGTCCTGTCTCCAACCTTCGCTTTGTGGCGAAGGTTGTTGAGAGTGTGGTCACATGACAGTTTCCGCAATGCCTGGAGGAAACGTCTTATCTAGATCCATTCCAGTCGGGTTTCAGGCCCGGGCACAGCACGGAAATGGCATTGGTCGCGTTGGTAGATGATCTCTGGAGGGCTCGGGACAGAGGTTGCTCCTCTGTTCTGGCCTTGTTAGACCTCTCAGCGGCTTTTGATACCATCGACCATGGTATCATGCTGCACCAGTTGGAAGAGTTGGGGATGGGGGGCACCGTGCTATGGTGGTTCTCCTTTCTCTCCGACCGGTCGCAGTTTGTGTTGGCAGGGGGGCAGAGGTCAATCTCGAGGCCTCTCATACGTGGAGTGCCTCAGGGGTTGGTTCTCTCGCCCCTTCTGTTCAACATTTATGTGAAGCCGCTGGGCGAGATCATCCGTGATTTTGGGGTGAAGTACCACCAGTACGCTGATGACACCCAGCTGTACATCTCCACCCCTGGCCACCCCAATGATGCCCTTGAAGTAATGTCCCAGTGCCTGGAGGCTGTGCGGATCTGGATGGGGAGAAACCGGCTCAGACTCAACCCTTCCAAGACTGAGTGGCTGTGGTTCCCGGCATCCCGATATAGTCAGATGACTTCATCTCTGACTATTGGGGGTGAGTCTTTGGCCCCCTCGGAGAGGGCCCGCAATCTGGGTGTCCTTCTGGATATGCAGCTGTCCTTGGAGGAACATCTGACGGCTGTGGCCAGGGGGACTTTTTGTCAGGTTTGCCTGATACGCCAGTTGCGGCCCTTTCTTGATCGGGATGCCCTGCGCACAGTCACTCATGCCCTCGTCACCTCTCGCCTGGACTACTGCAACGTTTTCTACATGGGGCTCCCCTTGAGGGGCACCCGGAGGCCCCAACTGGTCCAGAATGCAGCCGCGCGGGTAGTTACGGGAGCTGCATGGCGCTCCCATACAACACTTCTCCTGCGTGAGCTGCACTGGCTCCCAGTGGTCTTCCGGGTGCGCTTCAAGGTGTTGGTTATCACTTTTAAAGTGCTCCATGGCATAGGACCTAGATATCTTTGAGACCGCCTGCTGCTACCGACAGCCTCCTATCGACCTGTGCGCTCCTACAGAGAGGGCCTCCTCAGGGTGCCATCAATGTAGGCTGGTGACCCCCAGGGGGAGGGCCTTCTCTGTGGGAGCACCCACCCTCTGGAACCAACTGCCCCCAGAGATAAGGAGAATCCAAGACCTCGGTGCCTTCCGCCGTGCCCTTAAAACCTTCTTTTTTCAGCAAGCCAGGCTGGCTTAATTTTTTTTAAATGTTTTAAATTGGTTTGTTATTGTTTTTAAATTACGGGGCCAAATTTATATATATTCTTTTAATACTATTTTAATGTTTGTAATTTACGTTTTTATTTGGCTGTACACCGCCCTGAGTCCTCAGGGAGAAGGGCGGTATATAAATTGGATATAAAATAAAATAAATAAAAATAAATTATTACCTAATCGAATGTTGTTATTGTCGGTTTTGGCCATCTGGTATAAAGTGTTTTAATGTCCACTAATTTAGGTGATCAAATATTGGTTAACATCTCCAAATAAGAATTAGTTATAGCATCCCCTTAAGCACAATTTATTTGCAGGAAAAGAAATTGACACTGTATTTTTGAGATTTTCAGCCTTAAACTTTCCAAAATAACCATTCCATTATAGTGACCAGTCACATTATCAGATACTTACTTCTCTTTTGGTTCCACAACCATCATACGGTATATAGAATGTAATTTTATCTTTTGAAATGTCAGGTGTACAGGTAGCATCGCTTATGTACAAATTACAGTCAAGGCAGCCCTTTGAAATGAGATATTGTTTCCCAATAACTGCCTTCATGTATTCCGTATAGCAAGAAAGTGTTACTGCACCGTGAGAAAGGAAATGTGATGTCAGTCAATAGAAGAAAACATATAAAATTGTAGCTAGGTTACCTTGTAAATGCAGATATCATTGATTTATCATTAGTTAAAATAACCATACTTATAGTATTTAAGTTTTTGCATTCTACTTTTCCCAATTAATCAGCAATCAGTTGATGTTGTTTTACAATTATAAGTATTTCAGTATTTAGTTCATTTCAAAATGAACTATGAAATACTGAAATAAGTATTTCAGTATTTAGTTCATTTCAAAATTGCTTGGTATGCTTGCACACATTAATATCAAAGCCTTATTAGCTACAATGTACTGTGAGTCAAAAGCCACTAAGCAGTTATTCTATCTTTTCTTCTTTACAAACTTCCTATGATAAAATAAAGGATGGACGAAGAAGTCAGGAGTTAAAAATAGAACTTTTTGTAAAGTTCTGTGAATCAGACAGGTGATTCAGCTGTGGCATCCTGAGTAACGAGAATACCGGCTTTGCTTCCTCCTTCCACTTATGTTTTTGCCACAATCACTTTAATCAGTAACTAAATCTTTTCTCCACCCTTCACCATGACCTTAAGCAGCAGTGAGTTGGAGGAGACACTTCTGTCTAATATACCCACCCACCCTTGTTGACACTGACATTTGTGTGGTTTCCAAATACTTTTAAAACTTTCATCCATTGTGTGGGTGGCGATTTGCTACTGAACTCTCTTTTTACAATCCTGTGGTCTCTACTTGGTAGAGTTGGGGCAATTGGATGGAGCTGAGCGTTTACTGGCCAGATGCCCTTCCTGATACCTACATGAAATTCACAGATTTTTTTTTTTATTTGCGCCCTAGGAGAAAAACATCTGCTACTACCTAGGATTGAACTCTCAACCTTCTGAGAGAGAAGCAAGCATCTTCACCACTAGACCACCCATTTTGCTACTGAACAAATAAATATAATTATTTGAATTCTTGTGGAATGCCATAGGTCCATGAAAACGTTTAATTAAGTAATTGAACAACAATAAAAATTACCAAAATCTGTGGTATCATCCGGAAGAGCTATGAAAGAAAAAAAATATTATGATTAAGACATCTTTTACAAATTATCTTGTAGAAGTAACTTTCAGAATAATTACTAGATCTGTGAACTTAGGAACTATTCTTCAAATATAAGGCAGCTAACTCTTGGCAAATACCAATACTTGATCCTATGACTGTTGGACCAGAGACTAAGCAACAGTCAAGCAGTGGCTTCATGACTGGCTAAAGAAATCATGGCAGGTAGGAAATGTATGTTTGGCTAGGATTCCAACCAGATGTTGCAATGAAAGTTAATGGTGTAACAACTGGGCCTGTAACCTTATAGCCTGCTTATTCCAGGACTGAGAAGGCGTATGAGCAATATTGTCCGAAGTATCTATATTCAGTTACTGCATTGTTAGTTCAAACATTATATAATATGAATGAAGCAGCATTAGCCGATTCATTATTAATATTAAACAAAACAGGTGTGTGTAGAGGAAGCAAGATTGCAGCTGGAAATAAAACTGAATATGTTAGAAGTCTAAGGGGTGTATGGTATACGCTACATAGAAGATAACGGGAGGTACAAATGAGGGAGATACAAAATCTTGAAATTTAAAGTCTTAGTGTTTACCTTTGCAAAAAGAAAAAAGTTCAATTGTCTTTAAAACAGTAGTCCCTAACCTTTGCAGTTTAGCGGCCCTGCTGGGAGGGAGAGAGGGAAACCAGGCTATGGGAATGGTAGGCTGGCACACACACACACACACACACACACACACACACAGAGAGAGAGAGAGAGAGAGAGAGAGAGAGAGAGAGAGAGAGATCAATTTGCACAAACTTGACTTGTACAAGTTGAGCTACACTCTTGTGTGCAACTGTGTCGGCTCCCCACTCACGCAAATTGGGCTGTGTGTGTGTACGGGCATGTCAGTCTCCCACTCATGTGGCCCGGTTCTGAATAGGCCATGGCCCGGTAGTGGGCTGTGGCCTGGGGACCCCTGATTTAAAGTTGTCATGAAAATGACCGTTTATAGGATGTGATTTCGTTTTTTGTCAACATTATGGCCACAAAACATTAGCTTTCTACAACCAGTATAAGGATACTGATTATGAGAATTCAAACTTCTTTAACAATGAATAAAACTAATTTCTTAGGGTATATCTTGGAAAACCAACAACTATAAGGTTTCTTTATGGATAGTCACTGGTTATTTTTCAATATACCTTTCCCATGATTTTATTTACACATTTAACATGGGAATATCTGGATTGGAATTTTGTAAATTGTTAGAAGGAGAGTGAGTTATCCTCTTTGGTTTGGAAATATCCCCAAATTGGGGAAGGAACTAGGAGCAATCAGGAAAAGAAAACAATACATAGATTTTTTGGCGGCGGCAGCAGGGTGGGAATTTTAAAAATATATTTTAAGGGATACTTTGTAAGTCCACCAAGTTTAAAAACATGTTTAAAATAAAGCTACAATATTTTTCAGAGTATAAGATGCAGCTAAGTTTTTGGGGAGGAAAATAGGGGAAAAAAAATCTGCCTACCAGCTAGCATCCTTAGTCAGCTTCAGCACATTAGTTTGCTGGTTTTTTATCTCCTGCTTGGGGATAAAAAACAGCTTCTAAGGCATAGCTGAGAGGAAGCAGCAATGAGAAAATCAGGCAAAGCACGGGAAGATCACTTCACTCGGCTAGCGCCTAGTTAGGGCTGAAAAAAAACTTCTAAAGAACAGCTGAGAGTCGGAGCAAAGCATGGAGATCGCTTCACTCGCTAGCGCCTCATTAAAGCACAGCAGAGAGTCCACTTCACTCGCTAGTGCTTCATTAGGGCTGAAAAAAAAGCTTCGAAAAAGCTACATTTGGAGTATAAGACGCACCCAAATTTTCAGCCTCTTTTGGGGGGGGGGGGAAGGTGTGTCTTATATTCTGAAAAATACGGTATTTTTGATTGTGAGCTCTGATCTATCAACAGATACAGATTTATTTGACATATACTAATTTATGGAACAAGGTACAAAATGGTCACCAAACTGAACAATAATCACATGCATATATGAATGTCTTACGTATCATAAAAACATTGCTTACTGGCTATCGTGGCCACTGTGGTAGTTGGTGGTGGTGGTGGCGGCAGGGCTGTTGAAGGAAATGTTTGCAATACTATTATTTCGTATTTTAACTTATATAGTTTTATTAGCACGTTTTGCTATATTGTTCTCTTCCGCAATGTCATCATTAAGTTATCCCAGAGAATGGGGAGATGTTATGTTTAAGGAGATATAATTTGTTGCTTTAAAATATAAAGTTTTATATTTTATAGTTTTATAAAATATACAGTCTTAAAAGTTGAGCTGGAGGGAAAATGAAAGGCAAGCTGATGATTAGAGGCAAAAGCATCTGTCTTCTTCCATGACCACAAATCTACAGTTGAGACATATTAATACTAAACTCCATGTAGGAGGATGAACTGCTCTGAAATTATCAAGATTACGGGGTTTTTTTTCTTCTCTCTCTGCAATGATCTGATTGTCAGCTGCCAATCTAGGTGCATATGTATCTGCAGAGAAAGGAAGAAAAAGGAGTTTAAATTTCCTTAGAAGTACTTGTAGGCTGGCAAGCAGGGTTCAGAAGAAAGAAGTGTAAAAGAAGCCGGAGCAGTAGAGATAAGGAGGGAGTTTTCTTCTCAGTTTGGTAAGAGATGCTGCTGGAGTGAGAAGTGACATGACAACTTATGGAGCAGATGAGGCAATGGCTGCGAGAGCCCAAATACCATTTGTTTCAATTCAGCAATTCAGTTGCTAGCTAGTCATTGAAAAAAATATCTAATGTTTGTGACACTGAGCAACTGGAGCGTCTTCACAGGAAGTGGCCATTCTGGGCCAGAAAAGTATTGAAAATACTTTGATCAAGTCCAAAGCAAGTTTTTAGGATATTCTGGAATCCTTTGCCAAAATCAAACTTGGAAGTCTGATTTTATCATTTAGGAAGGGCCTGACTCCTTGTGAAATGCATTCAGTTTGTACGTTGCCTGCTTCCCAACTATGGAAGCTCAGAAGAAAGCAAGGACTATCAAATAATAAGAACAACATTGCAATGACCTGCCACTCCCCCCAAAGATGGAAAAATTGAGCAGCAACAAGAACCCATCCACTTTACACCTTTGTTTTTATTTCTACACTCTCAACAACCTTGGTTTTATATTTGTAGGTACAAAGAAAATCAGTTCACCAAAGGGGTCCTCCGTATATTGAAGGGACTAAAATATCCAATTGAGATGTCTGTGACATATAAGGGTTTTTTTTAGGAAAGAAGAGAACGAAGATACTGGTAATAATACAGAAATTGGACAAGAGAAGGATTATCATGAAGCAGCCTTACTTGGAATCACAGTTTTCCTTGGAGGCACTTCTCGATAGTGTGCAAGAAAGCCTCTTTCACTCATGCTAGAATCACTTATAAATACAATTCTCATTTTGTTTGATGAGGATATGTATCTCTTTCGTGGACTCCAACAAATTTTTCCAAATGAAGGGGATGTTGAGAAAGGACCATCAAAGATCTCCACAAAATCAACCGTGCAGAACCTGGTAATTTCCACTCTGTGGAGAAGAAGATGAGTAGGTGAATGCCTTCAGAATTACATGAAACTACCATTACATCCAGATTTTCATTTTTAAAAATACGTTAAAGCTGTCCTTCCTCAACTATTCCCACAGACGTTGTTCCATTAAAGCAGAAGTGGGCAACCAGGCATCCAGCAATGCCCAGAAACCTCTGAATTCCTTCCTTGTCCTTCTTCCGAACCAACTACAACTTTGCTTCAGTTCTGAGGCACAACATGTGCAAAAAATATTTATTTGAGACATAAGACAGACATAGCAGAATTTCAAGAGTGATAAATCTAAACTGCTCAGAGGGAAAAAGAAAAAAAAGTAATGGTCCACCCATGTTATATCAATTATCTTGCTTTCTTCAGAAAGCTAAGCTCCCAGGATGAAAAAGTTGTTCACCACAATATTAAATCTAATGAAAATATACTTTATTTTATTTTATTATTTTATTTCTAGTTGTAGGGGAATTCTAGGTATTTAACCATAACCATATACCAATAAACAATACAACATATTTATATTCTATAAACTTGGTTCTATAAATTTTAAAGTAGTAAAATAAAATCATGCTATAATAATATCACTGATAACAAGCCAATGGTGTTGTTTTATCTTGCATAGGTTCTCTCTAACAATTCAGTTTTTAAAAGCCAAAAAACGTGAGATCAATTTTATTTCTAATTGGAGGCTATATCATGATATATGCATACTTCTACAATACTATAAATAGAAAGCAGAGTCACTCATAAAGTTTAAGCATGTACTATTATGCAATAATACTCCATCACATTCAGTGTTATAATTTGATTAGAGTTAATGAGGTTATAGGCCATTTGAGATCCTGTGTTTTCAAGATCAGCATTCCTGGTATAACGCAAGTACAACTAAATTGTCATTACACTCTGCTTTCAAAGAGACATCTGTCATGTCCTAAACAAACAAAGAAAAAAGTTACTTCAAATCAGTTATTATTTTAATAATTTTAAGTTAGAACAGATAGAATTTTCTTGCCTAATACATACTGTATTTCTTTGCTGTTCTCTAAGGTGCCATTGGTTAATGCCTCGTATATTGAGAACAAAAATAGCTAAGCAGAAATTGGACAGAAGGAAAACATACACAAACACACACACACACTTCCTATGTTATTCTTGGAACTTTGTATTCTTGCAGTCTTAGGATACAATGGATAATAATGCTATTAAAATCATAAACACATATTCTAGTTTATAGATCACTCTATTATAGGATAGAAGAATCAATAAAATGCATTCTGTGGGATAGTTCCCATAAAACTTTCCAAATATTAAGTATGAAATATGTTTAGTTACAACAGTTTCTAACTAAAGCAAGACTTTGTGGCAGAAACCATTCAACGGCATTTTCATTGATGAACTAGCAGGTCCTTTATTACCTGAAATCTTCAAATTTGAGTTCTACATGACGTCTTTCCTCTACCTCTATCTCCCAAACACAGTAAGAATTCTTTGGGTAGTTTGAAGGATAGAATGGACTTGAAAATGAACCTGAAGGACCTGTGAGTTTGCAGCCATAAAGACATTTGCCTAGAGGGAAACAAATTAATAAAGGCCAGTGAAGAGCTTTATTTGTATAGTATACTTGTGTTGGTACATACATGTATAATTTTAGTGAAATCAATATACAAAAACTCCAGGAAATAACACTTGCTTGCACATGTCAAATAAAGCCATTTATAAAAGTATTATGGGAAAAAGAAAATAACAACTTGAGAGGAAGCAACCTACGTTCCCTGCATCTAGGTCAATAAAAACTCTAAAGAAAGAAGAAGAAAAAAAGCAGAATGTTAAAGACAAAACAATTGTGTGGTTTTTAACCTACTTGAGAATGGGTAAGCGGAAAAAGCAAGAATAGACTATAAAGCGAAGACATTGCTTAAATATCCGAGAGGTTGGAAGTATCCTTGCCTATGTGACTCTTATTTCTTCCATTTATAATGATGTTTGGGATGCATAAAATTTAAAACTGAAAATAATACCATCCAATTCATATAGTAAATTATTGTCAAACATGAGAGAAACTGTTAAGCAAGGAACTGAACTAGGAAAAACAAGTTAACTAAACATGGGATCTATTATTTTAAATTTCTGAGAAGGAAACCACTATTACTTTTGTAGCTAAGTATTCTGTACTTCAAATTTGGTGATAATTTCTTTTCAGCCTTTGACATACTAAGGTGGCAGTGTGAGTGCTAGATAATAGTAGGCTAACTATGCGTTATCTTCTGTTTTTTTAAAACTATTATTATTTTAATATGTAAAAAAAAGGAGAAGTGGCTTTCAGTGAAAGAAAGAAAACCATTTAGATTACAATCCTACATGTGCATTGCTGGAGAAAATTTCAGAGAATTAGTTTCTGAAAGAAAATATTTATAGGTTTGTAATCTTAAATTAGTTAATTGATGCTGAAAAGAAACTTCAGCCCGATAGCTTACCAGAAGGAGTGGGCTTCTGAGTGTTAGGAAAAGCTATAGATTTTGATGCTAGAAGAAGGAAAAGATAAAAATACAGTTACATGAATAATGACAAATCTCAAATTTAAGCATCTTACAATTAATATTTGTTTTGAATCCTCTGTTCAATAGAGATTTTGCATGATATGATTATTAAGGAATGCCTCAGTTATCCCCATTCCACATGCAGCATGTTCTGTGATGATGAGAATGTTGGCTGATTTTGGCCAACATAAGTCAAAAATTATACTTGTACTTAGTATTCCATTCCAAAGAGCGCTTAGAACACGTGGGAGAACAGGTACTTCAGTTATCTACAATTATTTGAAGCACCGTTTGCTTTAAGAGCTTATTAAGAACTCAAATGCCTATTGAGCATGGCTAATAGCTAGCTGCAGTCCAGAAACAACCCTCCTTGTATATAGGATTGTAACAGTCATCTCTAACAGTAAACACTATCCAATTACTCTCATACACGTTGACCCACCCAATGTTTCAAAACCTATTTTTCCTTGAGTGATGTTATTTAACCTTTGATTGAAATCTTTTTCTCTTCTTGGCAGTAGGCTAACTACTTGGGAGTCTAATACTTGAATACATTCTTTCACTTGGTTACCACTACCTACCCTATTAGGTCTCATAAGCCTTTAAAGGTATGTTTGTATGTATATACAAAAAAGGCTACGCATTTTCCACCTATTACAATTCTAGGCATATATTGAAGGCTTGAATACATTTGCTGTATCATCTAGACAGACTAAATAAAAATGGTGGAATGGAAGACGTGTTGAGAAAAACAATGGAGTGGAAAAGAAAGAAATACCCCATATAATTTTCTATATTTGCATTTTTGCAGACAAAAATGAGTTTGGAATATTTTCTTTGTTTTGCATAAGGAAAAGAAGTCATCACATAATGTTATTCAACATTTAATTATAACTGCTCAAGTCCATTAATCAGAGGATTGGTTAATCTACTGACCTGGAATAATTGGATGTGGTGTGGTTACTGCAGGAACAGGTCTAGTAGTTGGATTCTGAGTAGTTAGTGCCCCAACTGGTAATAAATAGAGCAAATATAATTTAACATTAGGACTGAAAATAATCTTAAATGCAAAAAAAAAAAAAAGGGGGGGGGGGAGGTTGTTTTACGGAGTACACCAGAAAAACTTCTAAAATTAAAAAAAAACTTTGAAAAATGCATTTACTCAAATAAAACATTATATTGGAGGTTCTACAATGCAACATATTAAAGACACAAAAGAATATGTGAATGCGTAATGTTTGCACTAAAATGCATAGATTGAGTTTATTAAAAAAATGATCCAAATGTAAATACCTGGCACTTTTGTTGTATTTCTTGAGGGAGCTACAAAACCAAAAGAAAAGAAATAGTTGAGTTTGATAAATGAAGAAAGGAAAGGAAAACAGACACAAGAATCTGATAATTTGATGTTTCTCTACAGAGTAATTTTAATTATTCTCAGGAATATTTTGCAAGCCTATTAAAATCAGAAAGTATACTTTATAATATAGCTTTTGGTTTTGATTATCATGTTTGAATACATATTATTAATTGTTCTTATTTTATCACTATTTATTTACAGCATAGACAGAGCCTTCACAGAGAAACTCTAGTATGCTTAATTCCCCAGTTCCCATTGTAAAAAATTTCAAGACGACTCTGGCATCTGTTTTTGCCATTCATCAACCTTACAGTCAATGAGCTTGTTGTTGTTACTAATGCACTTTCTGCAATTGTCAAAAGAATATAAACAACATTTTTTCCCAATGACATATTACATTGACACTTTGAGGGTTCATTTTAAAAAGGCATTTCAGTGTTTCCCAACCTGATTTTTTTTTGTCAGATAATATTCTGCCTTTGTGTATCAATGGGCATGCATGTGCGTGTATATAGTACAACTCTAGATATTGTGACCTGTGTTCCCATTTATATATTTATTTATTTATATTTATTTATATATACCATTTATTTTGGTTTTGATTATCATTTTTGAATGTATATGACTAATTGTTCTTATTTTAACACTATTTATTTACAACACAGACAGAGCCTTCACAGCGAAACTTTAGTATGTTAATTTTCACAGACCAATTAATAACAGCAGGAATTTAAAAAGTAATGATTCAATGTTCAGTGAAAATCAGTCTGAGGCATAACACATCCATTTCACAGAATAGATGTCACTGGCATTTTTTATATCACTAAATAACGTTATTCAGGAATTTCAGTATTCCCTAATTATTATTTTATGATATGTTCTTCTATGCAAAATGAGATCACTTCCCAAATACACTATTTACTGTTTGCAAAGACAATACTTACTAAGTATAATGGGATTCTTTGTTGTAAGGGAAACTGTTTCTATGAAAAAAAAATACAGAAAGTAAGCTCTTCCTTTGAGGGATAGAGAAGCATTCATAACATTTTGCTAGGAAGGCTCCTATGAAATCATTTTATACTAACAACAACATGGTTACCTGAGCAAATGACACCAGCATCTTCCTTGTGGTCACACTGATGAGTTCCCCAGCCTGAATTGGAGCACTCTTCTATAGATGATTCATTCCCTTTGCACTGAACATTTTCTAGGAGGATGTTGCCAGTGCCTTGCCCAAAATAGGCTTCATTGGTGGCTTCCATAGCTTCTCCACAGGCAAGTTGTTTGCATACAACCTTTGCATCTGGTAAGTCCCAACCGTCGTCACAGACTGTTCCCCAGTTCCCATTGTGAAAGATTTCAAGGCGACCCTGGCATCTGTTTTTGCCATTCATCAATCTTACAGTCAATGAGCTTGTTGTTGTTACCAATGCACTTTCTGCAATTGTCAAAAGAATATAAACAGCATTTTCTCCCAATGACATATTACATTGACACTTTGAGGGTTCATTTTAAAAAGGCATTTCAGTGTTTCCCAACCTGATTTTTTTTTGTCAGATAATATTCTGCCTTTGTGTATCAATGGGCATGCATGTGCGGTGTATACAGTACAACTCTAGATATTGTGACCTGTGTTCCCATTTATATAAATAGGGTTGAATGGATTTAAGAAGATATATGTTTAGGTCTGGCCACAGTTGCTACCTTATCTACAAATCTTTGGATCATTTACAAATTATATTTGAGAAATAACTTTCAGGTTTCTTTTCCCTGAATACTCAAGATGAAAAGCTTGTTATTCTTTTACATCATCATGTAAACAAAGACGAACATTTTGAGGTCTCTATCTCTTTTTGAATTGAGTTGTCTTGGTTAAATTAAATTCAATGACCTGGTGTTTGGTTAGAAGCTGTGCCAGTTTATGAGAATAACTTTGGGAGGAGCAGAAGGAAGAGCCAAAGCCAAAAAAACATCTGATAAGAGAATCAAAGTCCAAAAAAGGAATGAGGAAAGAGAAAGCACCTCAGAAAGGACCCTGCTGAATTCTGTTGAAAATAATGCCAGGAGAGAGAGGGAAGGTCTTTCTCTATTACAGCAGGGAGCCCCAAACTTTCTGGCACCAAGGACTGATTTCATGGCAGACAAATTTTCCATGAACTGGGGGAGAATAGATTTGTGCGTAACCTGATCTCGCGCATGTGCAAGGGGAGTCACTCGCCGCTTGCGGGGTCTGATTCCTAACAGGATATGACTGGTACTGGTCTATAGCCCAGGGATTGGGGACCTCTGTGTTACTTTTTCTTTATAATAAGGGTAGCATTAGTACTATTGATTTTGATTTCCTGATTTGGTTTCCTATCTGAAAAGGCTGACAGAAGTGAACAGGTTTGTTGCATGTTCCTACTTCCCACTGTTTCCACAATGCAGATATCACTTCAAAAGAAGTATGAAGACAGAAGCAGAATTACTAATATAATGCTTCCACACTTAGTAATAATTAGAAACCAGAAGAGATTTATCATAGAAATGAAATGGAAGGTAAATCTCCCTATTCTGCCATCCTAGCCCCAATCAAAATGTTTTCTGTTGTTGCTCTTTTTTGTTTTAATAAAGAGAGAAAAGCCAGGAGCCACTAGATATTATCTACTGGCACTTATACGCCCAAAATGACTTCCCTTTTTCTCTACCAGGCACCTGTTTCAGTCAAGCATTGATTTTTTTTTAAAAAAAATCAATTTGAAATAAAATTTTAAAAATTATTACTTTGTTTTTATTTCTAATAGTGACATTGGATTGGCCAATATTCTGCCAGACATTATTAGAAAATTATGCCAGACATTATTAGAAAATTATGGAATGCCTGCAACCGAGACCTTTATTTGCAAATGTACCAATCTGTTGTCCCTAAAAAAAAGTTGAAAGTAAGGGGTATAAACTTGGAGGGCTAGAGAGGGTAGCTGAATGCAGTAGCCCTGATTACTTTCTGAGAAAGAGGTATATTTTAAGTGCCACAAGTACTACATTAGCCAGTCTGGGAATTATTACCTCCAGTATCAAACAGCTGTTTTGCATTTTGGACATCCATAATATGTTCATAACACACAAAAAATGTTCCCACTGCCCAGAAAGTTGTGTTTTGCACTACATTACATATTTTCCAGTACACATCTTATTAGTCCTTCTGGTATATTCCTTTGATGTACAGATTTTGGAAAGAAAGTTGGATGCATCTTATTTTTCTCTGTCTTGTTAAAGAGTTTGCTGGTTCCATTTCCCTTTAAATTATGATACAATGTTTCAAGTAAAAATAGTAATTTAAGAAAATACATACTAGGTGCTGATGTGGTGATAGCAGGACCTAAAAATAGAAGAAATAATATCTGTGGGTGAAGATGACATAATAATGCTGATTAATTATAGGTTATATTGCCAATATTATAATTTTTTCTTTTATATTTTTGTATTTTTCTTTGATATAATGAAGTAAAAGTGTCCCTCTTGTGAAATGTGATTGATAAATAAATAAATAAATAAATAAATAAATAAATAAATAAATAAATAAATAAATCTGTAATAAATGTAATTTAAAAAAAGTAGCAAATCTGGCTGAAAGTATAGGAACTGATCCCAATACTGTTTTCAGTATTGAAACTATAGGTGGTGTTTATTTGCTGACTGCATCTGAGTCTTCCATCTCCATTATTAAGTTTTGTGGTTACCCATCATATGACTTGCAACTTCTATTTGCTTTTCTCATTGACTTTATTGGAAGCTGACTATGAAGATTGCAAATGGCAATCACATGATTTCAGGATGCTGTGATTGTTGTAAATGTTTACCAGTTGCCAAGTGCCCAAATCACGATCACAGAGATTCTGCAAAAATCATACCTTCAAGGACCTGTCAAAAGTCTCATTTTTCAGTGCTAATTTGGTTGGTAAGCAAGCACTACCCATAAACCAATATACTCAAGATGGTCAATGCAATCTAACATTCTGAACAAAAAATAAATTAGCAGACATTTGGTTCTTAAAATAAACATAAAGCTCTAGCCATATTGTAACTATGTTCTGTTGGTGAAATTTGATTATGATTTCTATAGCTTTGCATCACTGAACTCTTCAGAGTCATTTCAGAAGACTATGTGAGCTCTGAATATAAAAGCTATATGGGAAAACAGGAAAAAAGCATGTGGCTTACAATAAGATGCTTCCATACTGTTGTTGAATAAAAAGAATAATTCCACATGTTTTATTTAGCCAGAGATGATTATTCCATTGTCTACCAGGTCTCAATTTAAATGAATTTACTGAAATATACTGTAATAACTTTATTAAAAATAAGCAGTTCAGATTACCTGAGCAAATGACCCCAGCATCTTCCTTGTGGCGACAGTTATGAATGCCCCAAGGTTTATGGGAGCATTCTTCAAGAGAGGATTCGTTTCCTTTGCACTTCAGCTCATCCAGGAAGATGCTGCCAGTTCCTTCCCCAAACGCAGCATTAGGTAGTGCTTGGACGGCCGCTCCACAGGCAAGCACTGCTTACACACAACTTGTGCATCATTCATGTCCCAGCCATCGTCACAAATTGTTCCCCAGGTTCCATTGTAAAAGACCTCACGCGACCATGACATTTGTCTTCTCCATTCACCAGCCTCAAAGATTTTTCTTGAAATGAAAAACATTTGTAAATTGGACATTCACCTCAGATATCTAATTTCTGGAATTCTTTATTTCTAAAGAGTGAAGAATCAACTCTGCAGTTCTGTTTTCCAACCCTTGGGTGAAAAGCATCCCTTGTGATCAGCTGGAAGTGCTGTAAGTTTATTGTTACAATATTTAGCTGCCTGCAATTACTACGAGTTCAATTCTCACCAGGCTCAAGATTGACTCAGCCTTCCATCCTTTCTAAGGTAGGTAAAATAAGGACCCGGTTTGTGGGGGCAATAAGCTGACTTTGTATAAAAATATACAAAAGTATGAAGGCTATTGTTTAACGCATTGTAAGCCGCCCGGAGTCTCCGGAGAAGGGTGGCATATAAATAAAAAAAAAATTTTTTAAAAAAATATTTCTTCTTATTGTTGTTGTATTATCGGCTAGGGCTTCTTTTTGGAGGGTTCTAATTATTGACTCACCTCAGGGTGGTGGCACCGACAGCCCCGCCCAGGAGGAGCTCACTGCGGGCCCACTTCTTCTGCAGCTGCTTGCCGCCACTCTCACGTATCGCCCAGGCCTCCGTTTTGTGTTTAGATGCCTGCCGGAAGGCATCTGCAGCCGATAACATACCTCCAGATTGATCTGGAACTCTGTTATCGGTTGCATATGCCTTCCGGCAGGGATCTGAAGGCAAAACGGAGGCCAGGGCGATGTGTGAGAGTGGCGGCAAGCGGCTGCAGAAAAAGGCGAGGCAGATGTTGGATAATGCAAGGTCTGGTAAGTAGGGCAGCCCTACCCCCACACCCCATCTCCACCCTGGCTTATTTTTTATCTGTCTGCCTCGTCCAACCCCCTGCACCTTGGGGTCTTAATTAGAGCTAATTTTGTGGGTGGGGCTTAATTTGATCTCATGCGCTCAAAAACATGATAGGGCTTCTTTTCAAGGTGGGTCGTCTTTTTGGAGAAACACAGTATTAGAACGCAAATCTACTTAACCATATAACAAATACCTCTTATTCCCTGTGTAGTCAGATCCATGGAGGTTGTAGAAAGATCTGACAAAAACAGAAATTTATAGTTACATGATTCAGAAACTTTGCCTGAATATTGTGTATAAAATAAAAATAATGTTGGAAACAACCAGCTATTCTTTGGTTTTCCACTTCCTCTCTATCCGTTTGCTGTTCCTACATATATTAGTTTTCAAATTCAATTCTTGTTCATTCACTTTGACCAAACCACTTCCTCATATTGCTTTTGTACCAGTTAGCTTAATTAATTTGACTTCCAATAATTAAGGACATTAACACTACTGATTAACCACAAATAATTTTAAGTACCCCATAGACACCAAATATTTTAGTTATGTATTTATTAAATTTATGTGCCATCTCACATATAAATGCATCCAAAGCAAATCATTCTACAATTCAATGCTGTGACTTTAGTTTACGCCTTCTTTAAATTAAATAACACAATAGTCATTCTTTCTTATGTCCATATGTTATTCAATTACTTGCTGAAAAGCAAATCTCAGTCTCAGGCATAGCATGAAGACTCACTTTATTTGAGAAATTGTAATTTTCAGTGAAAAAAAGAAAAGGAAGTTGGATTAATCTTATTTCTCTCTGTACTGATAAAGACTTTACTGGCTTCATTTCTCCTTAAATTATGACCAAGATTTGGGTTTAAATAACGATAGAAATTAAAGAAAATATCCATACGTTATTCAATGACTTGCTGAAAAGCAAAACTCCAGTCTTCATCGTACAAGCCTATCTTAAAGACTAATTTTATTTCACACATTGCTTTTAGTGAACAGAAAGAAAAGAAAGTTGAATGAATGTTATTTCTCCATTTGCTGCTAAAGACTTTACTGGTTCTATTTCCCCTGAAATTATGATGCAAGATTTGGTTTTAAGGAACCATAGAAATTTCATAAAATACCTACCAGGTGGTGGTGTGGTGACAGCAGGACCTGAAAATAGAAGAAATAAGTTTGGTCTGGGGGAAGAAGACAACATGCTGATATTGATGAATTATGAAGTTATATATATTTTCATTATTATTATCATTATTTCTTTTAGGTTTTTTACTCTTCTTTAGTTTGATACAATAAAGTAAAATAAAAAAGAACATAGCAAACCTGGCTGAAAGTACAGTATTAGAACTGATGCCTGTTGCCTTTTAATATTGATGCTGAGGAGATAGTCCTCATTTACTGACTGCAATCGAGTCTGCCAACTCCATTGTTAATTGCTGTGGTTGTTAAATGTGTTAAGCACCTTAAGCAAATTTACATAAAGATAATGTAATAAGTCATGGAAATCTGCATAATAAGGTTAAATCCTTGTATGTTCAATAATAAGTGCAATTTTTTTCTGAGACATGTTATCAATGAATGTTTTCTGAAAGCTTTACACATAATAGCAGTTAGGATCTTTTGCAATCCTATTCACGATCACTTAGTTAGATAGTGACTTACTTTGACTTTCTGATGATAATATTCTACCTGGGAAGAGTCACATTGCAATGACACCTAATTTTGTTTTTTTTTTCTTTTACTATTTTGGATAATGTAAAAATATCACATGACTTGAAAACTGAGCAGTTCAGATTACCTGAGCAAATGACCCCAGCATCTTCCTTGTGGCGACAGTTATGAATGCCCCAAGGTTTATGGGAGCATTCTTCAAGAGAGGATTCGTTCCCTTTGCACTTCAGCTCATCCAGGAAGATGCTGCCAGTTCCTTCCCCAAACGCAGCATTAGGTAGGGCTTGGACGGCCACTCCACAGGCAAGCTGCTTACACACAACTTGTGCGTCATTCATGTCCCAGACATCGTCACAAATTGTTCCCCAGGTTCCATTGTAAAAGACCTCAACACGACCACGACATTTGTCTTCTCCATTCACCACTCTCAGAGATTTTTCTTGAAATGAAAACATGTAAATTGGACTTTCACTTCAGAATATTTTGGAATATTTTGCTTATTTTGCATAAGGAAATGAAGCCATCACAGAATGTTATTCAACATTTAATTATAATTGTTCCAATCCATTAATCGGGAGATCGGTTAATCTACTAATCCAGTGTACTTGGATGTTATATGTTTACTCCAGGAACAGATCTTAATAGTTGGATGGTGAGTGCTTAGTTCCCAAACTGGTAATAAATAGAGCAAATATAATTTAACATTAGGACTGGAAATAATTTTTAATTTAAAAAAATGGGAGGTTACTTTAGGGATTACATCAGAAAACATCTAAAATAAAGTACTTTGGAAAATGCATTTGCTCAAATAAAACATCCAATCAGAGATTCTATAATGCAACATATTAAAGACACAAAAGAATATGTGCCTGTTTGTTTGCAGTAGAATACAGAGATTGGGTTAATTAGAAAATGATCCAAATGTAAATACCTGGCACTTTTGATGTAATTTTTGTTGGAGCTACAGAAACCAAAAGAAAAAAAGTTAAATTTGATACATGAAGTAAAGAAAGGAAAACAAACACAAGAATCTGATAGTTTAATGTTTCTCTACAGAGTAATTTTAATTATTCTCAGGAATATTTTGCAAGTCTATTAAAATCAGAAAGTATTCTTTATAATATATGCTTTTGGTTTTGATTATCATGTTTGAATACATATTATTAATTGTTCTTATTTTATCACTATTTATTTACAGCATAGACAGAGCCTTCTCAGAGAAACTCTAGTATGCTTAATTCCCAGTTCCCATTGTAAAAAATTTCAAGACGACTCTGGCATCTTTTTTGCCATTCATCAACCTTACAGTCAATGAGCTTGTTGTTGTTACTAATGCACTTTCTGCAATTGTCAAAAGAACATAAACAGCATTTTTTCCCAATGACACGTTACATTGTCTCTTTGAGGGTTCATTTTAAAAATGCATTTTAGTATTTCCCAACTTGATATTTTTTTGGTCTGCCTTTGTGTATCTATGGGCATGCATGGGTGTTTGTGTACAATTTGATATTGTGACCTGTGGTCCCTTTTAGATGATATGTATTTAGGGCTGGCCACAGTTGCTGCCTAATCTACAAATCTTTGGTAATTCCCTTGGATCATTCACAAATTATTTTATATTTTTCACAGGCAACTTTGAGCTTCATTTCCCCTGAATACCAGAGATTAAAAATTTGTTATTCTTACATCATCATGTAACAAAATATGAGCATTTCACCTGAGGTATCTAATTTCTAGTTTATTTGTAAGTGAGGGTCTAAATGGAGATTCAATTATTCAGGCCAAAAGTATCTAAAAAGGTTAAATCATGGCAACTGGACCAAAGTTTATTAAAACTGAGACATTTCATTATTCATCCAAATAACTTCTTCAGTCAAAATGAAAATTTGTGTAGGCAGAGAGTGAGAGAGTCATTGGAAAGAACAAATTCTTGCCACAGAGACCGCAGGGGGTTTCTTCCCAAAATGTAAAGTAACATGTAAATGAAGATTCAATCATACAGGTCAAAAGTATCTAAAAAGATTAAATCATGGCAACTGGAAATGTCTCAGTTTTAGTAAACTTTGGTTCAGTTGCCATGATTTAACCTTTTTAGATATTTTTGGCCTGGATGATTGTATCTTCATTTCCATGTTGCTTTTCATTTTGGGGAGAAACCCCGTGTAGTCTGTAGGCAGAAGTTGGTGCATTCCAACATCTCTCTGACTCTCTCCTATGCAAAATTTTCATTTTGACTGAAGACATGACTAACGAAACGTCTCAGTTTCAAGAAACTTTGGTCCAGTTGCCATGATTTGACCTTTTTAGATAAATAGAGAGGAATCACCTCTGCTGTTCTATTTTATCAATATAACATATTAATATAATACATAATTTAATCTAATGCATTGTTAGTCAATTTTATTCAAGTCTGATTATTTTTCTGTGAGAATAGACATGGTTCCATGGTATGGTGGGAAATCACATGCTCTTTCTCGATATTTCAGTTCCGTAATTTAGCAGTTCCAACCGGCCTGACCACAGGATACTCTTTGGCACGTTTCAACTGTATATCCTTGATTCAGGAAAATATGCTTTCAAAGAAATTCCTATTTGATACAAAATTCCCTCTATCGCTTACTGAAGTATGGATTTATATGTGCTTTGGAGAAGACCAACCACCTTCATCTCACCATACCATAAAATGGGTGTGTGATTATAAATAGGAACGTATACAGTGGCTCATTGTCCCTGATAGGACATTCATTTTTTCACCAATATCACCAAGTATATCATGAGTTTGATGGTTCAAACCCTGGATGAAGCGCACCCCTCCTTTTATCTTAAAAGCATGTGAATTAGATAAAGAGGGAATGATTGGCTCAAAGTTACCCCATGAGTGGACCTGAACCTGGATCTCCCCAGATCTAGTTGACATCTTCACGTGTATCTACTATTTCCAATGTAGTACAATAAACAATTTGCAACCAGCATTTAAGCCACCACTGTGAACAGCTGGAAGTGCTGTAGGTTTATTGTTACAATATTCATTACTATTATAAGAATGCAAATCCACTTCAGGCATATAATAAATACCTCTTGTTTCCTGTGTAGTCATATCTGTGGAAGTTGTAGAAAAGTCTGACAAAAACAGAAATTGTATAATTATATGATTCAGAAGTTCTTTTCTATCATAGATGCATAGAGATAAAAATAATGCTGAGAAAAAAACAGCCATTCTCTTGGTTTTCCACTTCCTCTCAATCTGTTTGCTCTTCCGACTTATATTTGTTTTCTAATTCAATTCTTGTTCATTCTCTTTGACCAAATCACTTCATGATGCTGCTTTTCTACTAGTTAGCCTAATTAATTTGGATTCCAATTATTCAACACGCTAGCAGTAATGTTTAAACACAATTTTAAGTATTCCATAAGTACTTACTTACTTATTTACTTACTTATTTACTATGCTATCTTGTAGAACATTTCATAATTCAATGCTTTCACTTTATTTAAATCAAACAACATATGATATTTTTTCTTACATTCACATATTTTTCAATTATTTGCTGAAAAGCAAAAGTCCAGTCTTCACACCACATGTGTAGCATAAAGACTCATTTTATTTCACAAATTGTGCTTTCATTGAAAAGAAAGTTGGATGAATTTATTTCTCTGTGTTTCAAGTAAAGACTTTAGTGGTTCTATTTTTCCTTCAATTATGGTGTAAAATTTGATTTTAAGTAATAATAGGAATTTAAGCAAATACCTACCAGGTGTTGGTGTCGTGACAGCAGGACCTGAAAATAAAAGAAATAACTTTCTGGGTGAAGATGACAATAAATGAAGATGATGAATTAGGAGGTCAATATGTCAATATTATTTTCATTATTTACTTTTTTACGCTTCTTTAAAAAGTAAGGGTTCCCCTCACACATATGTGTTAGTCGTTCCCAACTCTAGGGGGCGGTACTCATCTCTGTTTCAAAGCCGAAGAGCCAGCGCTGTCCGAAGACCTCTCTGTGGTCATGTGGCAGGCATGACTAAACGCCAAAGGTGCATGGAACGCTGTTACCTTCCCACCAAAGGTGGTCCCTATTTTTCTACTTGCATTTTTTACGTGCTTTCGAACTATTAGGTTGGCAGAAGCTGGGACAAGTAACGGGAGCTCACCCCATTACACGGCACTAGGGATTCAAACTGCTGAACTTTCGATCGACAAGCTCAGCATCTTAGCCACTGAGCCACCGCGTCACGCTTCTTTAGTTTGTTGCAATAAAGTATCAAACAAAAAGGGCATAGCAAACCTGGCTGAAAGTATCAGAATTGATGCCTGTTGCTTTTTAGTATTGAGACTCCAGCTAGTCTTCTTTTACTGACTGCAGCTGAATTTGCCAACTCCATCATTAAGTGCTATGGTTTTTTTGTTAAGCACTTTAATTAAATTTACTTAAAGATAACATTATAACTTATTGAATCGTGCATAACAAGAACTAATTCTTAAAGCCTTGTATGTTCAATAATAAATGGATTTTTTTTCTACTGAGCCACATTATCAGTGAAGATTGACAGAAAACTTTACACATAATAGCAATTAGGATCCGTTGTGACCATCTAGCTAAATAATGATATACTTTGCTTTCTGATAATAATGTTTTATCAGGGAACAGCCACATTACATTGGCACCTGATTGTTTAATTATTCTTCCACTGTGTTTGGTTAATATATTAATTTATTTAGCGTATGATACAATTAGCCAGGAGACCACAATGTTAATACATAAAAGTTATTTGGCTGCTGAAGAGGGCAGGTCCATTTAGTTCATGCTCACACACAATCCATGATACACCACAGGTGACAAACTAGGTTTGCATCAAAAAAGACAACTGGCATCCTAGGGCATCATCTGAGGTCTTCTTTCACACTGATGTTGCCCCACAATTTGGCATTGCATCTGGACAGGTCCATCTCCAGCCTGGGTCTGATTTCGCACTGAAGTGGTACCTATTTATCTAGTCACATGTAGCATGTTTTTTAACTGCTGAGGCAAGTGACAGGAACTCACTCTGCCATGTGGTGCTAGGACTTGAACCGTTGAAGCAGAGATTACCTCCAGCATTTTTAAGCCACCGCGCCTATTGGATAATGTAAACCACATAAAAACATCACATAACTTGAAAATTGAGCAGTTCAGATTACCTGAGCAAATGACCCCAGCATCTTCCTTGTGACGACAGTCATGAACACCCCAAGGTTTATGGGAGCATTCTTCAAGAGAGGATTCGTTCCCTTTGCACTTCAGCTCATCCAGGAAGATGCTGCCAGTTCCTTCCCCAAATGCGGCATTAGGTAGGGCTTGGACGGCCGCTCCACAGGCAAGCTGCTTACACACAACTTGTGCGTCATTCATGTCCCAGCCATCGTCACAAATTGTTCCCCAGCTTCCATTGTAAAAGACCTCAATGCGACCACGACATTTGTCTTCTCCATTCACCAGTCTCAGAGATTTTTCTTAAAATGAAAACAAATGCATATTGAACATTCACCTCAGATATCTAATTTCTAACATTCTTTAGAATTTCTAAAGAGGGAGGAACCATCTCTGCTGTTTTGTTTTGCCATATAATACATTAATGCCAGTCTATCAGAATGAAAATGGTTCTAGAGTACGGTGTGAAAACCATATGCTTTTTGTCTATAGTTCAGTTCTCTCCTATGGCTATCCGAGCCTCTGTGAAGGCAGGTTAGTAATTCTGGTAGTTAAACACATGACTTTTGAATATATGACTACCTATGAATACCTATTATTTCAGATCAGATACAATAAAGGATCCATTTGGTAAGAATCATATAAGCATCCCTTGGGATAAGCTAATTTATTGTTACAATATTCATTCATTCATTCATTCATTCATTCATTCATTCATTCATTCATTCATTCATTCATTCTGACGTGCCTTGGGAAAAGGAGCTAAACCAGCACAATAATGTGCCACTCAGCACCATCCCCATAGCCAGTCCAAAACGATAGCATGGGTGATTATATTGAAAGCCCCTGAAAGGTCAAGGAGAGTAAGGATGGATGCACTACCCCCATCCTGCTTTCACTAGAGATTTTCCACAAGCATAATTAATGCCCTTTCTATTCCATAACCCAGTCTGAGACCTGACTGAAAGGGACCCAGATAATATGTTTTATCCAGGAGCTGCAAGACAACTACTTTTTCCATCACCTTCCCTAGAAAGGGGATGTGGGACACTGGGTGAAAGATGTCCAGGGAACACGGGTCCAATGATGATTTCTTGAGCAGGGGCATATCATGGTTTCCTTTTGAATAATGCCGGAAATACCCCTTCCTGCATCAAAGCATGAATAATCACTTGGATCCACCTGCAGGTCACCATCCTAAAGACTTTCACCAACCAGGACAGACAAGGATCTAATAAGCAGGTACAGTAGCTGCCTTAAAAGCCCCAAGGATCCTCTCTACTTCCTCAGGTCCAAAAGGGTCAAACTGTTCTCAGAAATCTAGCAAGCCTATTCATCAGGCATCTCAAAAAGACCTGCTTCACACTTGGACACAAATTGAGAATGAAACTGAAAAATTTTATCCATCAGGTGACAAATTCCTTTGCGTGGCTGTGGAAATGATCACCTGAAATTTCCTTCTCAAGGAGGGACTGGGTGACCTTGAACAGGGCCATTGGGCAACACTCTGCCGATGCAATAAGACTAGAGAAATAGTGACATTTCACCGCTCTTAGCACCAGAAGGTCTTAATTGTGGCTCTTACCTGTGTCTGGTGGACTTCGTTTTTAAGTTTTATTCCAGTGGTGCTCTAGCTGTCTGTTGGACCTTTTCAGTACCCTCATCTCCTCCATAAACCATGGGGAGTTTTGGGACCCATGGGCCATAAGGGGGCACATGAATGTGATCCTATCCAGAGCCTTGGTCACTTTCTGATTCCAAGTTATGACCAAGGCTTCCATAGGTCTGTGAAGCAAAATCCCCAGAATAACCCCTCTTCTAAAACCTGAGTGGGATTTGCCAAGGGAAACTTGAATAGGTCCTGCCTTGCTATGGACGGGTCATTGGAAAATCTCACAGCCACCAGTGTATGGTCTGACCATGTCCTGGCAATAATGACAGATTCCCCATCATCATGTTGCCACTTCTCCAACAAGAAAATTATATCCAGTGTGACTGCTATCCCAAGTTGGGCCTTGGGTGAACTACGACTGACCAAGGACTGCCAAGGTGGCCATGAACTCCTGGGCTGCTTCTAAAGCCAAGCCCAGGGATGGCAGTTTGAAGTCCTCCAGGACCATAAACCTGGGCAACTCCCCCCAAAACCCCAAGATGGCCTCTAGCAGTTCAGGTGGGACGGTTGCTGTGCACCAAAGAGGCTGGTACAGTAGTAGTACCGGCCTGATCTCATAAACCCCACTATTATTGTTGTTATAAAAATACAAATCTATTTCAGCATATAATAAATACCTCTTATTTTCTGTGTAGTCAAATCTGCAGAGGTTGTAGATAGTTCTGACAAAAAAGGAAATTTTATAATTATCTATTTCAGAAACTTTACCAGAACTTCTTTCTAACATGTATATAGAGATAAAAATAATGCTGGGAAAAAACACCAAACCACTTCACAGCCAAATTAATTCCTCATTCAGGACTCTATCACTGCTGGTTAAGCACAAACAACTTCCTTCCTTCCTTCCTTCCTTCCTTCCTTCCTTCCTTCCTTCCTTCCTTCCTTCCTTCCCTTCCTTCCTTCCTCCCTCCCTCCTCTCCTCCCTCCTTCTGTCATCTCACTATCCAGAGCAAAATATTCCACAATTTAATGCTTTCACTTTATTTTATATCTTATTTAAATCAAATAACAAATGCTAGCCATTCTTTCCTAAATCCATACGTTATTCAATGACTTGCTGAAAAACAAAAGTCCAGTTTTCACAATAGATGCCTAGCTTAAAGACTAATTTTATTTCACGAACTGTGCTTTCAGTGAACAGAAAGATAAGAAAGTTAAATTAATCTTATTTCTTTGTGTGCTGGTAAAGACTTTACTTGCTCTTTTTCTCCTTAAATTATAATGCAAGATTTGGTTTTAAGTAACCATAGAAATGTAAGCAAATACTTACCAGATGGTGGTGTGGTGACAGCAGGACCTGAAAATAGAAGAAATAACTTTGGTCTGTGTGAAGATGCAACATACTGATGTTGATGAAGGAAAGTACAATAGGCCGTTTTTACTGGACCACGTAGGGCGGCCATTTGAAACCTGACCTGGACTCAGCAACGCAGCATTTCCCCTCCCTCTGCATCACCTCTTTAACTCACCACAGCATAATGAGGCAATGTTTTTACTTTGCAATTCCAAATATTGCCTGGGTGAAAAAGCACATTTTAAACTGAAGCTGGAGAAAGAAGGACTCTGCTGAGATCGTGAACAGACAATGAAGGATTAAGAGTTAAAGAGGAAATGCGAAGGGAAATGCTGCTTTGCTGAGTCCAGGTCAGGTTTCAAACAGCCACTCCATGTGGCCCCGTAAGAATGGCCTGCAGTACTTCCCTTCCCTCTCATCCTGAGTTCTGCAGCTCTTCAGAAGTAAGCAAAGGATTGTGAGGGATGGAGGTGGCTTTGGGGAACCAAAAAGTTAGGAGCAGATCATGGGGGTATCTCAGGGGCTAATGGAAGCCCTGGGAAGCCCAATGTAGGGATCCCTGAGGCACCTCATGCACACTTAACGACCCCTGCATTCAGCCCTGCATTCATTTAATGTATGCATTGGGGTGGTCAAGAATGAGGGGTTTCACTTAACGAGTTTCAATTAATATCATCCTGCCTTATGACCGAAATAGGTAGGTTCCATTACTGTCATAAGTGGAGGACTACTTGTACATTATCAATGAAGATTTCCTGAAAGCTTTATCCATAATATCAATTAGGATCCTTTGTGATCGTATTTAATATCTCCTAGTTAGATGGCATCATACTTTGGCTTTCTAATGATAATATTTTAACTGGCAACATTCACATTACATTGACACCTGATTGTTAAATTATTCTTTAACTATGTTTTCATAATATAAAACAAGTCAAACATCACATCATTTGAAAATTGAACAGTTCAGATTACCTGAGCAAATGACCCCAGCATCTTCTTTGTGGCGACAGTCATGAACGCCCCAAGGTTTATGGGAGCATTCTTCAAGAGAGGATTCGTTCCCTTTGCACTTCAGCTCATCCAGGAAGATGCTGCCAGTTCCTTCCCCAAATGCGGCATTAAGTAGGGCTTGGACGGCCTCTCCGCAAGCAAGTTGCCTACACACAACTTGTGCGTCATTCATGTCCCAGCCATCGTCACAAATTGTTCCCCAGGTTCCATTGTAAAAGACCTCAATGCGACCACGACATTTGTCTTCTCCATTCACCAGTCTCAGAGACTTTTCTTGAAAGGAAAACAAATGTAGATTGGACTTTCACCTCAGCTTTCTAATTTCTGGAATTTTAATTAATAAATAGAGAGGAATCACCTCTGCTGTTCTGTTTTGCACCACTTGGGTGGATAGCAAACTTGTGATCAGCTGGAAGTGCTGTAGGTTTATTGTTACAATATCTATTACTATTGTAATAATGCAAATCCGTTTCACCATATAATAAATACCTCTTATTCCCTGCGTAGTCAGATCTGCTGATGTTGTAGAAATGTCTGACAAAAACAATAAATGTTATATGTTTCAAAAACTTTGCCAGAATTTTTTTGGTAATCATAGGTGTACAGAGATAAAAATAATGCTGGAAATAACCAGCCATGCTCTTGATTTTAAACTTTCTCTGAATCCACTTGCTCTTCCTATATTTGTTTACAAATTCAATCCTTGTTCATTCTCTTTGACCAAACCACTTTATAGCCTACTTAATTTGGATCTCAGTCATTCAGGACCCAATCTCTACTGGTTAGCCAAAAAAATGTAAATAGTCACAAAATCAGTCAGTCAGTCATATTTCCTTTGAGAGCAAAATATTCCATAATTCAATTATTTCACTTTATTTTACAATTTATTTAAATCAAACAGCAACAAATGATAGTCATTCTTTCATAAGTCCATACATTTTTCAATGATCTGTTGAAAAAACAAAACTCTGGCAGTACATGCCTAGCATAAAGATTAATTTTATTTCACAGTGAATAGAAAGAGAAGAAAGTTAAATGAAACATTTCTATCTTTGCTGCTAAAGATTTTACTGACTCTATTCCCCTGAAATTATGATGCAACATTTGGTTTTAAATAACCATAGAAATTTCAGAAAATACCTACCAGGTGGTGGTGTGGTGTGAGCAGGACCTGAAAATTGAAGAAATAACTTTGGTCTGGGTGAAGATGGCAACATGGTGATGTTGATGAATTAGGACGTTACATGACATTAACATTATTATTATCATCATTCTTTCTTTCATATTTTTACTCTTCTTTAGTTTAATATAATAAAGAAAAATAATATAGGGTATTGCAAACCTCGCTTAAAGTATTGGAACTGATGCTTGTTGCCTTTTATTATTGAGACTACATGTGGTCCTCACTTAGTGACTGCAACTGAACCTCCCAACTCTATCATTAAATTTATGCATGTTAAGCACCTTAAACAAATTTACTTAAACATAATGTAATAACTTACAGAAACCTGCATAACAAGACCCAATCCTTAAATCTTTGTAAGTTCAATAATAAATCTTCGAGATCGCCTTCTACCGCATAGCTCCCAGTGACCGGTAAGATCCCACAGAGTTGGTCTCCTCTGGGTCCCGTCAGCTAAACAATGCCGGCTGGCGGGCCCGCAGGGGAGGGCCTTCTCTGTGGCTGCCCCAGCTCTCTGGAACCAGTTACCTCCTGAGATCCGGATTACCCCCACCCTATTGGCCTTCCGGAAAGCGGTGAAGACCTGGCTTTTCCGACAGGCCTGGGGCCGTTGATCTCGCTGTTGCCATCTTGCGAAATGCGGCCACGAATGGTGTGCATGAGCTTTTAATGTTTTTAAAATGTTTTTATAATGGTTTTTAATAATTTTTCTATGTTCATTGTTTGCATTATTTTTGCTGTAAACCGCCCAGAGTCCCTTGGGAGTTGGGTGGCATAGAAATGCAATAATTAAATTAAATTAAATAAATTAAATTAAATTAATTAAATTAAATTAAATTAAATTAAATTAAATTAAATTAAATTAAATTAATTAAATTAAATGCAATTTGTTTATACTGAAAAAAGATTGTCTGAAAGTTTTACACATAATAGAAAGTAGGATCCTTTGCAATCCCATTTAAGACCACCTAGTTGAATGATGACATACTTTGGCTTTCTAATATATCATTTTTCCTGGGAAGAGTCACATTGCATTCACATCTGATTTTCATATTATTCTTTTACTATATTTGGAAAAAATAAACCAAATATTCCATAATTCAATGATTTCACTTTATTTTACACCTTTTTTAAATCAAATAACAAATGGCAGTCATTCTTCTTTTAAATCCATATGTTATTCAATGACTTGCTGAAAAGCAAAACTTCAGTCTTCATTGTACATGCCTATCTTAAAGACTAATTTTATTTCACACATTGCTTTCAGTGAATAGAAAGAAAAGAAAGTTGGATGAATGTTATTTCTCTATTTGCTGCTAAAGACTTTACTGGTTCCATTTTCCCTGAAATTATGATGCAAGATTTGGTTTTAAGTAACCACAGAAATTTTAGAAAATACCTACCAGGTGTTGGTGTGGTGACAGCAAGACCTGAAAATAGAAGAAATAATTGGTCTCAATGAAGATGACAACATACTTATGTTGATGAATTAGGTTACATTAATGATAATTATTATCATTATTTCTTTTATATATTTTTTTACTCTTCTTTAGTTTGATATAAAAATGTGTACTCCAAACCTGTCTTAAAGTGGTGGAACTGATCCTTGTTGTCTTTTATATTGAGATTATATGTAGTCTTTATTTACTGAGTCTGCAATTGAGTCTGCCAACTCAATTAACATTATTAAGTGCTGTAGTTATTAAGTATATTAAGTACTTTAATCAAATTTCCTTAAAGATAATGTAGTAACTTATCATAACCTGCATAACAAGAAAAAATTCTCAAATCCTTGTAAATTCAATAATAAATGTACTTTTTTTTCTACTGAAGCACATTATCAGTGAAGACTGTCTGAAAGCTTTACACAGAATAGCAAATAGGATCCTTTGCAACTCCTCTCAAGACCTCCTGGTTAGATACAAACATACTTTAGCTTTCTGACGATAATATTCTGCAAGGAACAGACATGTTACATTGAAACCTGATTTTCATATTATATTTTTAGGTTGTTTGCATAGACCAAGTAAAACAGCAAAAAAACCCTGAAAATTGAGCAATTTAGGTACCTGAGCAAACGACCCCAGCATCTTCTTTGTGGCGACAGTCATGAACGCCCCAAGGTTTATGGGAGCATTCTTCAAGAGAGGATTCGTTCCCTTCGCACTGGACCTGATCCAGGAAGATGCTGCCAGTTCCTTCCCCAAACGCGGCATTAGGTAGGGCTTGAAGGGCCTCTCCACAGGCAAGCTGTTTACACACAACTTGTGCATCATTCATGTCCCAGCCATCGTCACAAATTGTTCCCCACTTTCCATTGTAAAAGACCTCAATGCGACCACGACATTTGTCTTCTCCATTCACCAATCTCAGAGATTTTTCTTGAAATGAAAACGAATGCAATTTGGACTTTTACCTCAGAAATCTTATTTCTAAAATTCTTTATTACTAAATAGAGAGGAATCACCTCTGCTATTCTGTTTTGAACCCCTCATGATCAGCTGGAAGTGCTGTAGGTTTATTGTTATAATAGTTATTACTGTTATAAGAATGAAAGTCCCACATATAATAAATACCTCTTATTCCCTGAGTAGTCAGCATAGCAGAGGATGTAGAAAGGTCTGACAAAAACAAAAAAATATAGTTATATGACTCTGAAACTTCTACAGAAGTTCTTTTTTATCATGGATGTGTGGAGATAAAAATAATGGTGAGAAAAAACAACTATTCTCTTGGTTTTAAACTTCATCTCAATCCATGTGCTCTTCCTACATATATTTGTTTACAAATTCAATCGTTGTTCATTCTCTTTGACCAAAGCACATTATAACCTAATTAATTTGGCTTCCAATCCTTCAGAAGACAATCACTACTGTTAACCACAAGCAATAGTCACCAATTTAGTTATTTAATTATTTACTTACCATTTCCTCTTAAATTAGGATGCAAGATTTGCTTTTAAGTAACAATAGAAATTTAAGCAAATACCTACCAGGTGGTGATGTGGTGACAGCAGGACCTGAAAACAGAAGAAATAACTTCGGTCTGGGTGAAGAAGACGACATACTGATGTTGATGAATTAGGAGGTTTTATTATATTGCCATTATTATTATCATTATTCCTTTTATATTTTTTACCATTCAGTTTGACACAATAAACAACTAAACTAAACTAAACTAAACTAAACTAAACTAAACTAAACTAAACTAAACTAACTAAACTGAACTGAACTGAACTAAACTAAACTAAACTAAACTAAACTAAACTAAACAAAGGATATAGAACCTGACGAAGTATTTGTCTGATGCCTATAGCCTTTTAATATTGAGACTAAGGTAGTCCTCATTTACTGACTGCAATTGAATCTGCCACCTCCCTTGTTAAGTCCTGTGGCTGTTAAATGTGTTAAAAACCTTAAACAAATTTATTTAAAGATAAAATAATAACTTGTTGAAACCTGCATAACAAGACCCAGTCCTTAAATATTGTATGTTCAATAATAAATGCATTTTTGTATTGAATGAAGTGAATGTGTGAAAGTTTTACAAATAATAGCAATTAGGATCCTTTGCAATCCAATTCTAGACCACCTAGCGGAATGAAGACAAACTTCGGTTTCTAATGATAATCTATTTGGCAACGGTTACATTACAATGACACTTTATTTTTAAATTATTGTTTATCGTGTTTGGATAATGTAAACCAAGTAAAACATCACAACACTTGATGCAGTTTAAAAGTACCTGAGCAAATGACCCCAGCATCTTCCTTGTGGCGACAGTCATGAACGCCCCAAGGTTTATGGGAGCATTCTTCAAGAGAGGATTCGTTCCCTTTGCACTGGACCTGATCCAGGAAGATGCTGCCAGTTCCTTCCCCAAACGCGGCATTAGGTAGAGCTTGCAGGGCCTCTCCACAGGCAAGCTGCTTACACACAACTTGTGTGTCATTCATGTCCCAGCCATCGTCACAAATTGTTCCCCACTTTCCATTGTAAAAGACCTCAACGCGACCACGACATTTGTCTTCTCCATTCACCAGTCTCAGAGATTTTTCTTGAAATGAAAACGAATGCAGTTTGGATTTTTGCCTCAAAAATTTTATTTCTAAAATTCTTTATTACTAAATAGAGAGGAATCACCTCTGCTGTTCTGTTTTGCATACCTCATGATCAGCTGGAAGTGCTATAGGTTTATTGTTATAATAGTTATTACTGTTATAAGAATGAAAGTCCCACATATAATAAATACCTCTTATTCCCTGAGTAGTCAGCTTAGCAGAGGATGTAGAGAGGTCTGACAAAAACAGAAAATTATAGTTATATGACACTGAAACTTCTACAGAAGTTCTTTTTTTATTGTGGATGTATAGAGATAAAAAATAATAGTGGAAACAAAACAACCATTCTCCTGATTTTAAACTTCTTCTCTATCAGTGGTGGCTTCCTCCCGGTTCGGTCCGGTTCGGCCGAGCCGGTAGCGGTGACGATATGACATCACTGAACCGGTCTTTACCCCCGCCCTCCCACCTCCCCACCCCCCACATTATTCTTACCTTTTATTTGGTCCCACCCCCAATCTATTGCTGCCTCCTGAGTCCCAACTGATGACTAGAGGGAAAAAAACTGTTTAAACTCTTGCCGCGGGGCTTCAAAGGGCCGTCCTACAGCTGATCAGTGTTAAAAGCAAACAAATGAGTCGGGTCGTAAGTGCGAGGACTGGTCGTAAGTGCGAGGACCTTCCAGAAATGACTCTGACCAGCTAGCTACGCCCACCTAGTCACATGACCTCCAAGCCACACCCACAAAATAAGCCACGGCGACAGAACCGGTAGTAAAAAAATTTAGAACCCACCCCTGCTCTCTATCCATTTTCTTTTCCTACATATATTTGTTTACAAATTCCTTTCTTGTTCATTCTCTTTGACCAAATCACTTTAGAGCCTAATTAATTTGGCTTCCAATCATTCAGGACTCAAACTCTACTAGTTAATCACAAGCAATTTGTAAGTACCCAGTTTAGTTATTTACTTATCATTTCCTCTTAAGTTAGGATGCAAGATTTGCTTTTGTGTAATAATAGGAATTTAAGCAAATACCTACCAGGTGGTGATGTGGTGACAACAGGACCTGAAAATAGAAGAAATGTATTCTTTCTGGGTGAAGATGACAACATTCTGATGAATTAGTAGGTTATATTATATTGTCATTATTATTATCATTATTACCTTTTTTTTTCCTATTCAGTTTGACATAAACTAAATTAAAAAGGGTACAGTATAGCAAACCTAAAGTATTGGTATGGTAGTGATGCCTATTGCGTTTTAATATCGAGACTAAGGTAGTCCTCATTTAGTGACTGCAGCTGAATCTGCCACCTCCATTGTTAAGTCCTGTGGTTGTTAAATGTTAAGAACCTTAAACAAATTTACTTAAAGGTAATATAATAACTTATTCAAACCTGTGTAACAAGGCCCAGTACTTAAATCTTTTTGTATGTTCAATAATAAATGCATTTTTGTATTGAATGAAGTGAATGTGTGAAAGTTTTACAAATAATAGCAATTAGGATCCTTTGCAATCCAATTCTAGACCACCTAGCGGAATGAAGACAAACTTCGGTTTCTAATGATAATCTATTTGGCAACGGTTACATTACAATGACACTTTATTTTTAAATTATTGTTTATCGTGTTTGGATAATGTAAACCAAGTAAAACATCACAACACTTGATGCAGTTTAAAAGTACCTGAGCAAATGACCCCAGCATCTTCCTTGTGGCGACAGTCATGAACGCCCCAAGGTTTATGGGAGCATTCTTCAAGAGAGGATTCGTTCCCTTTGCACTGGACCTGATCCAGGAAGATGCTGCCAGTTCCTTCCCCAAACGCGGCATTAGGTAGGGCTTGCAGGGCCTCTCCACAGGCAAGCTGCTTACACACAACTTGTGTGTCATTCATGTCCCAGCCATCGTCACAAATTGTTCCCCACTTTTCCATTGTAAAAGACCTCAATGCGACCACGACATTTGTCTTCTCCATTCACCAGTCTCAGAGATTTTTCTTGAAATGAAAACGAATGCAGTTTGGACTTTTGCCTCAGAAATCTAATTTCTAGAATTCTTTATTACTAAATAAAGAGGAATCATCTCTGCTGTTCTGTTTTGCACCCCTCATGATCAGCTGGAAGTGCTATAGGTTTATTGTTATAGTTATTACTACTATAAGAATGAAAGTCCAGCATATAATAAATACCTCTTATTTCTTGAGTAGAACTTGTTTGCTATCGTTGGTGTATAGAGCAGAGGTGAAATGCTCCCAGTTCGGACCGGATCGCCAGATCCGGTAGCAATGGCGGGTGGTGGTAGGAGAACCGGTAGGAAACATCCCTGCCCCCCCCGCATGCCCAGCTGAGCCACGCGATCATCAGAGGCTTTTTTTTTATTTTTAAAAGCATTTTTTCTACAACCTCCTCAGCCAAAAAAATGCTTTTAAAAGTTAAAAAAAAAGCATCTGATGATCGCGCGGCTCAGCTGGGATCGTCAGAGGCTTTTAAAAGTATTTTTAACAGCTTTTTCGGCTGAAGAGGTTGTAGAAAAAAGGGTTTTAAAAGTTAAAAAAAAAATTGGCTACGGCCACCCAGTCACATTACCCACCCACCCCGAAAGCCATGCCCACAGAACTGGTAGTAACTAATTTTACATTTCACCACTGGTATAGAGATAAAAATAATGCTATGAAAGAAACCCAACCATGCTCTTTCACTTCCTTTTCTTCTCAATCCATGTGCTCTTCCTACATATACCTTTTGTTTTCAAATTTAAAGCTTGTTCATTTTTTTTGACCAAGCCACTTTATCATGTTGCTTTTGTACTAGTTTAGCTTAATTAATTTGGCTCCCAGTCATTCAAGACACTATCACTATTTTACGTCATCCACAATCAATAAATGTTTTCTTTGTTTATTTATCAAATTTATATGCTATCTCACATATATGCTATTTAGAGCAATATTTAGGTTACTAATGATAGTACCAATCACAGAAGTAGGAGCAGATGTTTTCAACTCTTCTACAGTTGTCTGAGAAGTGGCTGCCAAGCCTGGCATGACTGTTTCTTCCTTCTGGGTTATTGAATGGGTAGTCTTAGATGACGTTGTAGTTTTATATGACATTTCTAGGTTCTCATAGTAGTTTCTTTCTCAGTTGCTGGGTGGGTGGTTTCAAAGGATTTTTAGTTGGGAAATATGTGGAATCTACCAAGAAAAAAGAATCAGAATAATAAATAAATTTTATGTAACTCAATAAATTAATAATATTATTAATAATTAATAATAAGCTTCAGAAGAATCTATTTCTATATAGGCTATACCTATTCATGAGTGAGGGTGTTTTTTGATGCTAGCCTGCCATAGCATTCTTATATGTTGTAAAATCAAAAGCACTGAGAACTTGAACAATTTATTTAATTTATTTATTTATTTATTTATTTATTTATTTATTTATTTATTTATTCAATTTATAGTGCCATCCATCTCACCTAAGTGACTCTGGGAGGTCTACAAAAATAAAAAATAGTAATTAGGAATAAAAACAAAATAAAAGCCATTAGAACCATTTCTGAAATCCTGGAAAATAACACAAGTTTAGCTTCATGGCACTGTTGAAAATGCAATGTTATATGTGTGAGGCAATCTGAATAGCCAAAAGAATACTACTGTATTTTTTTTTTTGTTCTTTTGTTTTTTAAAAAATCAAACTATTATTTATGCTGGATTTTTTTTCAGAAACAAAAAGTCCCATTATTAGATATCCACGTGTGATCTCAATAAGGAATTTTTTAAATTTCACTAAATAAATTTCAGTTTGGGTAACCAACTTGCCATGTGTGCAATTTAAGTATAGCAGAAACTAAAGCAAAAGGAAAAAAGGACTCAGTGTAATCAGCCATTTTAAAAGATGATGCTTGTGCAAGTGATAATGACAACAGTTGTAATAGAATGGTATCTGTTGACACATTCAGTTTTTAAACTGTGTTTTTTATTTTTTCAATCCTTTTAAAATACCTTCTTTAGATTCAAAGGAACTCGATTTAATGTAAAAACCACAACACTAATGCTATTCAGCAAATAGTTACATAAGAGTTTTTTCAAACTTTTGCCTCTCGGTTCTTAAGCAATGACATAACAGATCAGTTTTATTATGCTATATTGAATACAGAAGATAGTTGAATTTTGCCCAACAGACTGTGTATGTTTTATTTAGATGCAATATTTTATCACACAGAACAATATCGGCCACTTAAAAAAAATAGTACGCCCAAGTGTAGAAAATAGGCTTTACAAATGTCTCAACGTAATCATTTGTAGAACAGAACACACACAAAAAGGTGAATCTATTTCAGCATATAAGAAATACCTCTTATTTCCTGTGTAGTTAGATCTACGGAGGTTGTAGAAAGGTCTGACAAAAACAATAAATTTTAGAGTTAACTTGGTAGACAAACAGCTGGCACTAATACTTTCCTTTTTATGGGCATTCTGTGTACCTGCTTTGTTTATTTGTATGCTTATTTTGAGAAGCTGTATTTCTGTATTTCCATCAGAGACAGAGTTCATGGGCCTATAAGCCCCTGAAGTAGGCTTTGTAGCTCTCCTTCAGTCACCCAGACAAAATGGGAACAAGTGAAATTGTAAAGAGCTTTTGTCAAATGTATGTGGAGCAGGGGTGAAATCCAGCAGGTTTTAACAAGTTCTGGAGAACCGGTAGCAGAAATTTTGAGTAGTTCGGAGAACCGGCAAATACCACTTCTGGCTGGCCCCAGAGTGGGGTGGGAATGGAGATTTTGCAATATCCTTCCCCCAGGAGGGGAGGGAATGGAGATTTTGCAGTATCCTTCCCCTGAAGTAGGGTAGGAATGGGGATTTTGCAATATCCTTCCCCTGCCAGTCCACCAAGCCACACGCACAGAACCAGTAGGGAAAAAATTTGGATTTCACCCCTGATATGGAGATTTGTAGTCATCTAAAGTAGGTCGCAAAGATGCTTTTTTTTTTTCCCAAGAGGCAACTCCAGAAACTCCAGTTGCCTCTTGGAAAAAAAAAAGAAAAAGAAAGCACGTTTTGTCAAAGTACAAAGTGTCAGCTAGCTGGATGTTTTTCATCGTTCCCTCTGCCCCCCTTTTGAAGATATAAAAGTTATTGGCTGGAGCACCGAGTTCGATTCTTAGCATTTCTGAGTGTGGCAAAACTGAAGATGATCAGCAACTGTTCTCAGAGTGATTCTGAAGGTTTGTGAAGTATAAAAAAAATACCGTGTGGAAGTGCCCTGATACTGTACAATATGTTATGCAATCAAGGCAGTTCATTACAGGAAAATAAAAATTACCTGCACAAAATTACACTTCAATCTGCACCATAATCAGTTACGTACATTCAAATCATTCTGGGCAATAACGTTGGCCCCAGGCTGGTCTTTACATTCAACATATTCGAGAAGGATTACAGGTAATCCTCAACTTACAACAGTCCATTTAGCGGCTGTTCAAAATTACAATGGCATTGAAAAAAGTGACTTATGATTTTTTTTGACACTTACGACTGTTGCAGCATCCCCATAATCACATGATCAAAATTCAGTCACTTGGCAACTGACTCTTATGACAATTACAGTGTCCTGGGTAGGGGTGGTTCTACTTACATTTACTACCGGTTTGCATCGCGCCCACACGCTCTTCTGCGCATGTGCAGAAGCTTCTGCTCATGCGCAAATCACCTATGATGACATCCGGGTCAGTGGGCGGTGCCTCCTGCCGGTTTTACTACCGGTTCTTACGAACCAGTCCAAACCGGGGGCAACCCACCACTGGTCCTGGATTCATGCGATCCCCTTTTGCAATTTTAGAATAGAATAGAATAGAATAGAATAGAATAGAATAGAATAGAATAGAATAGAATAGAATAGAATAGAATAGAATAGAATAACAGAGTTGGAAAGGACCTTGGAGGTCTTCTAGTCCAACCCCCTGCCCAGGCAGGAAACCCTACACCACTTCAGACAAATGGTTATTTAACATCTTCTTAAAAATTTCCAGTGTTGGGGCATTCACAGCTTCTGCAGGCAAGTTGTTCCACTTATAAATTGCTCTAACTGTCAGAAAATTTCTCCTTAGTTCTAAATTGCTTCTCTCCTTGATTAGTTTCCACCCATTGCTTCTTGTTCTACCCTCAGGTGCTTTGAAGAATAGTTTGACTCCCTCTTCTTTGTGGCAACCCCTGAGATATTGGAACACTGCTCTCATGTTTCCCCCAGACCTTCTCTTCATTAAACAAGACATACCCAGTTCCTGCAATCGTTCTTCATATGTTTTAGCCTCCAGTCCCCTAATCATCTTTGTTGCTCTTCTCTGCACTCTTTCTAGAGTCTCAACATCTTTTTTTACATCATGGCAACCAAAACTGAATGCAATATTCCAAGTGTGGCCTTACCAAGGCATTATAAAGTGGTATTAACACTTCATGTGATCTTGATTCTATCCCTCTGTTTATGCAGCCCAGAACTGTGTTGGCTTTTTTGGCAGCTGCTGCACACTGGTGGCTCATATCTAAATGGTTGTCCACTAGGACTCCAAGATCCCTCTCACAGTTATGACTATTGAGCAAGGTACCATATATATGGTACCTGTGCATTTTATTTTTCTTCCCTAAATGTAGAACCTTGCTTGTTTCATCTTCTGATAAGCAAAGTCAATAGGGAAGCCAGATTCATTTAACAACCATGTTAGCTATCTTAACAACTGAAATGACTCATTTAATAACTGTGGCAAGAAAGGTTGTAAAATGGAGAAAACTCATTTAACAGATGTCTTGCTTAGTAACCGAAATTTTGGTCTCAATTGTGGTCGAAAGTTGAGGACTACCTGTATTTCACAAAAATAAACTTTTCCATGCACAGGCCTGGTAACACCACAATTAATTTTTTGGCACCTACACCTGCATCTGTCTTTTTCTATTAAATAAAAACTTGTACCCCATTATAGCAAATATCAGCATCACAACTTTGTCCCCCATTTATCGTTCATATCAAGAACTTTTGACTGTGGTATTAGAGCTGCAGTGCAAGAAATAAATTGGGACCCAGAAATGCCTCAGATGAAAGCCCAAAATGAAAAATAAATATGATTTCACATTATTTATTGACTTAAATCAAATTAATTTAAATTCAATTAATGCAAGCATTTGCAAGTATTGAATAATGATCTCCTAATGTCACATTAAGAATTGCAGCAAGGTGGCCTAAGCTCACAGCCAAGTTTTTGGGAAACTACATGTGACCCTGGAGCCAACTATTGTTTTTCTCACCAAAAACCCACATTATAATCTGAAGCAACAGAATATCTCTGGACAAAATTGAAAGTTGGGTGCAGACGTCTCACACACTCATACTGTTCCCAAATGGACTCTCACTATCTTGTTACATAGGTCTTTTTCCTGAATAGCAGTTAACAAATTTGATAGTGGTATATTGGGAACAAACTCTTATTCTTCTTAAAAGTTAAGAACAAATATTATTTATGCTGAAAGCACCCCTGATATCAATGGAGCAAACTTCTGGTAAAAGTTGCTGATAAACCTAACCCTTCCTCACATCACCTGCCCTCATCCATTTTTGATATCTTTGTACTCCTTTTGCAGCAGTGGATAAGGTGCTGGCCTAGAAATCAGGAGATGGAGTTCTACTCTCATTTTAGGCATGAAATCTGACTGGGTAACTTTGAGCCGGTCACTCTTTCTCAACTCAGCTCACCTCCCAGCGTGGGTTTTTGTGGGAAAGATGGAAAGAGAAAGGAAAGTATTAGGTATGTTTGCCAGCATGAGTTATTTGTAAAATAATAAAGGTGGGATGAAAATCTAATAAATGAATAATGTTTTGAGATGCTTACCTTTAGATGTAGCAAATGGAGTTGGGGTTGATATTTCTGTACTGCCTGTCATCAGAAAAACATTTTTTCAGAGAAGCCACATTTTCAATTTGTACAGTATAGAATCAATCAACAAAATCATGACTATAATTCCCAAGAATGGTTATGGATTTAAGAAAAATCAACTCACTCTCATTTTTAATCCATGTAAATAAAGAGACTTACCTGTTGGTAGTAATGCAGCATCTTTCAACAAAGAGGGAGAAAATGTTGATAATGTTATTTAATTTTATTGCTGCATAAAGTACAATATTGTCATATATGATTTTTATGAAAATCTAGACATTTAGTTACAAGAAATCATTTGCATTTTCATCTCTCACTGATGCTTATGATGGTTATGATCCAATTGATTAACCAAAACTGCAATTAGCTTCATAATTTATGCCCTATAAATTACTATTAGTAATTTATATTAGTATAAAATTACTAATACAGAGTGATGGCATTATAATAAGTTCTTTGATCTTTAGCTTAAGCCACTGCATTCCCATTTGTAAATAATAAATAACTTGTCATTAATAGTCAATTAGAAAGACTATAATAGTCCACTTTGAGATATCATGGATTGTTTCATCTTGATTACGGTACATGGTTTAATGTTTGTTCACTTGCCATTTATAAACTTTCAGTTTAGAAAACAATTGCATATATGTTACTTAATAGGCATTGATCAAATAGAGACCAGCACTTAATTCACAAAAAAACTAAACAGGCTTTGACTTATTTAATATTTGTATGCAAGGCCACAGAGTTTTAAGGTAGACTGGGAACTTTTAAAAGATATGCCCCAAAAAACGCAATAGTAAAATCCTTCATCAGGCCAATATGTTAATTTAGTTATAAAAGGAGCTGAGTTTAATCTGAAGGAGCTGTTACCTTTTCTTATAGAACACAGTTTTCTTAGCTAATAAGAATAATGGTTCACTAATTTCATTAGTTTCAAATATATAGGGTCAGATAATATTTCAGATAAACCCTATATATGTTGTAGTCCTGTTTCTTCAACTGTTGAATTAGTACAATCTGATTCAGATTACTTGACCAAATGAAGTTAGTTTGTACATTGACTAAATGTTCTACTTTTAGTCATTCCTCTAGTAACTTTTTAGTTGAGATATCGGGCTTGGCTTCATTTTTAAAGATCTATATCATATATAAATATACAGACAGATGTATACCTGAGCAAACGACACCGACATCCTCATTGTGTCCACAGTCATTATTGAACCACCCAGCATGAGCACAATTCCAGATGGTGGGCTCACTTCCTGTGCATTTTACATCATCCAGACTGATGTTCCCTGATCCTTGGCCAAAGTACGCCCATCCTACCACCTTAGTTGCATTGCCACATGCAAGTTGTCTACACACTATTTGTGCGTTGATTGGATTAAAGTAGTCATCACAAACAGTCCCCCAAATTCCTTTAAAATAAACCTCTAATCTTCCGGCACATCTGTTCCATCCATTTACTAAGCGTAGTTCCTGTGTCCCTTTCAAAAATACAAATGATATTATTGTAAGTGGTTGTGGTAAAATAAAATTAGATCAGCTCAAAACTGTTCTGAATTTTTTAAAAAAAAAACATGCTACAATATAATTTGCAAAATAATAACTTTAGGTCAACATGGTAGATGACAGATTAATAGTAGTTTTATTATGCCTTAATTCCTGAGTGGATTCATTTTATTCATAGAAGTCACCAAAAAGGATTCTCTGAGAGCAGTTTTATGAACACTTCTTGATGAATGATTGCTAGCACCATCCAAAGACAAGTTGTGCAGCTATTTCATAATTCTCATGAAAACCATCTTTGGATTAACACAAAAGCATTAAAATATGTACACACTGGGCTTGTACGTTTTGTACAAGATTTGTACATTGCTTCTTTTGCTTCTGTGCATCCAAATTCATAGCATCAAGAGGTAACATTGATCCAAACACAGCTGATTCATGCTTACTATATTGCTGAGTGTTTTCTGAACACTATGAGCAAAGCAGCAACAATTTCTCAGTTTACTGAGATGTAATAACCACCTATCACCTTCTCAGATCCAAGAAAATATATAATGTAATAATATAATATAATATAATATTAAATAATATAATATAAAGTATAATATAGTATAGTATAGTATAGTATAATAATATAATATAATATAATATAATATAATATAATATAATAATTAATATAATATAATATAATATAAATAATAATAATATAATATAATAGAATAGAATAGAATATAATATAATATAATAATAAATATAATATAATATAATATAATAATAATATAATATAATATAATATAATATAATATAATATAATATAATATAATACAATACATCCACAATACCTGATTCTTGTAGAAGTGCAGCATGTATTACCAGCATCCAAGGAAAGAGTTTCTGGTAGCCCATGTTTCAAGTTGTGTTCTACTAATCTAAAGAAACAGGAAACTTGAGAATTTATAAATGTTCCAATCCAAACAGGAAAAAAAATCACTATGCAATTTGATATTCCATCTTCATCTCCTAAGTCTGTATCAAGGAAGTTAATAATATTTTCATTTCACAATATTTAGTCCAGGGAACACAGTTATTACTAAGGAGAAGTGAGGAAGAGGCTGAGTTTCCAATATTCATGGAAAAGCTTGGTAATCACGTACAATAACATCTAATGCAATGCTCCAGGAAATGTTCATTTTTAAAGTTAATGGCAAAGTGTATGCATATCTAAGCTATCAAATTATACAATGTCTGGGAAATAGGCTAGAACCATTCACCAGGTTTTTTGGGTTCTGAGATCTATCCATATGAGATACAAATCCTCAACTGAAGTTTCTGATGATGTAGCCCAGAAACATATTTAACTGCAAATGGTTCTCATTTAACAACTATTTATTCAGTGACTGTTCAAACATATGATGGCACAGACTGAATGAGTGGCTTTTATGACCTATCCTTGCATTTATGTCAAACACAATGTTCCTGCAATCATTAGTCATCATTTGCACCATTTGCTGGTTTCCTACAAGCCAAATCAGTGGGGAAGTTGGCCAGAGGTCGCAAATGGCAACCATGTCAAGTCCTCGCTAAACAACCTGCATTGAATCATTAAATGACGGCAACCAGAAGTGCCGTTGCTAAGCAGTTCAGGCATGTGATATTGTGCTTTATGATCCTGTCATTTAGCAATGGAAATTCCACTCCCAATCACCATCGTTAAATGAAGATTACCTATAATGCATTTGAAAAAGCATACTATCTCCTCTGCTGCTGGCTTGAATATCTACAGTAAGTCTCCTCTCCAACAGGAGTTATAGTGAACTGTGATTGTTTAAATATTTTCTTAAGAAAAGCAACAAAAATTGTGTAATTTGTGGTGTTGCTTTTTATGGTTTGTGGTTTGTTTTCTGTAAGGATAAAGCCAGACCCAACTGTCAACTTCTTTAGGATTGTATATACTATAATTTTCATATGTTTCTAACCTCAAAGTAATAGGGAAAAAACAAATTTTGGCTCAGGTCACTGAGCTCTAAAAGGGTTCAGTATTGGCATGTAATCTACAGTGTATATTACTCATCCCCATAATGTGCTTAATTATAAATATGTAACTTTGGGTCATTTTGCTCAGTAAATAAATGAAGAAGTAAAATGTTTTTGACTCATTTATTTAATTGGGTTTGTCTTTGTGTAACTGAGGGCTTGAGTGGAACATTTTAGGTGATATTTATGCAAAAAATGTTTGATAGGATTCACAATTTTTAAAGCTGTAGGCAGCTTGAAGAATGCCTACAGGTAGTCCTCGACTTACAACACTTCATTTAGTGACAATTCAAAGTTAGAACAACAGTGAAAAAAGAGATGTATGATTATTTTTCCCACTGAACACCATTGCAGCATTCCCATGGTCACATGATCAAAATTGAGATGCTTGGCAAGTGACTCATATTTATGACAGTTGCAATGGGGTCACTTTTTTATTTTTTTTATTTTTATTTTATTGAATTTGTATACCGCCCTACTCCCGAAGGACTCAGGGCGGTGAACAGCCATAGAATAAAACATATAAATACAAAATTTAAAATAGATTAAAACGAATTAAATAATTTGGCTGAACAAATTAAAAACCCCAATAATTTAAAACCAGATTTAAAATTTCCATTTAAAAAGGGGAAAGACTTAGGTCAGGCCGGCTTGATGAAATAGGAAGGTCTTTTTTCTTTTTTTTAATTTGATTTATATGCCGCTCTTCTCCGAAGACTCAGGGCAGCTTACAATGTGCTCAGCAATAGCCTTCATCCTTTTGTATATTTTATATAAAGTCAGCTTATTGCCCCCACAAACTGGGTCCTCATTTCACCTACCTTAGAAAGGATGGAAGGCTGAGTCAACCTTGAGCCTTGGCGAGATTCGAACCCTGCAATAATTGCAGGCAGCTGGTCTTAATAACCAGCTTAATAACAGGGTGCCTTAAACCCCTGTACTACCAAGGTCTTGAGCATGCGACAGAAGGTACGCCGATCCGGGATCCTCCGTATCTCCGGGGGGAGCTCGTTCCAGATAGTAGGTGCCCCCACAGAGAAGGCTCTCCCCCTGGGGGCCACCAGTCGACATTGTTTGGCCGACGGCACCCGGAGGAGCCCCTCTCTATGGGAGCGTACTGGTCGGTGGGAGGCTATTGGGGGTAGCAGGCGGTCCCGTAAATAACCAGGTCCTAAGCCATGGAGCGCTCTAAAGGTGATAACCAAAACCTTGAAGCGCACTCGGAAGACCACTGGGAGCCAGTGCAGCTCGCGCAGGAGAGGTGTTACATGGGAGTGCCACGTTGATCCGGTCACCACCCACGCGGCCGCACTCTGCGCCAGTTGGAGCCTCCGAGTGCTCCTCAAGGGGAGCCCCATGTAGAGAGTGTTACAATAGTCCAGACGGGAGGTGACGAGGGCATGAGTGACCATGCGTAAGGAGTCCCGATCTAGAAAGGGACGCGAATCAGGCGAACCTGATGAAAAATCCTCCCGGTCACGGCCATCAAGTGCTCTTCTAAAGACAGCCTTGAGTCCAGGAGGACACCCAAGTTGCGAGCCCTTTCTGTGGGGGCCAATGATTCACCCCCAATAGTCAGCGATGGCACCAGCTGACTATATCGTGACGTCGGAAACCACAGCCACTCGGTCTTGGATGGGTTGAGCCTGAGCCTGTTTCTCCCCATCCAGATCCGTACGGCCTCCAGGCACTGGGACATTACTTCAAGGGCATCGTTGGGGTGGTCTGGGGTGGAGATGTACAGTTTGGTGTCATCAGTGTACTGATGGTACTCCACCCCGAAACCATGGATGATCTCGCCCAGCGACTTTACATAAATGTTGAACAAAAGGGGTGAGAGGACTGATCCTTGTGGCACCCCACATATAAGGGGCCTCGGGGTCGACCTCTGCCCCCCCGTCAACACAGACTGCGACCGGTCGGAGAGAAAGGAGGAGAACCACCGTAGTACGGTGCCTCCCACCCCCAACTCTTCCAACCGGTGCAGCATGATACCATGGTCGATGGTATCAAAAGCCGCTGAGAGATCTAACAGGACCAGTACAGAGGAGCACCCCCTGTCCCGAGCCCTCCAGAGATCATCCACCAACGCGACCAATGCCGTTTCCATGCTGTACCCAGGCCTGAAACCCGACTGGAATGGATCTAGATACGTCGTTTCATCCAGGTACTGGGGGAGCTGTCGTGCAACCACACTCTCAACAACCTTCGCCACAAAGCGATAGTTAGCCAATACTGCTGGGTCCAGGGAAGGCTTCTTGAGGAGAGGTCTCACCACCGCCTCTTTCAAGGCGGCGGGAAAGATACCCTCACCCAATGAAGCATTTATAATCCCCTGGAGCCAGCCTCGCGTCACCTCCTGGGAAGCCAGCACTAACCAGGAGGGGCACGGGTCCAAAAACATGTGGTCGCATTCAGTCTACCCAGAATCCTGTCCATGTCCTCAGGGGTCACAGGATCAAACTCATCCCAGATAACATTCTCAGGACCTGTCTCCGTCATCCCCGCTGGATCTACCCAGTCGGAGTCCAGATCTTCCCGAATCTGAGTGATTTTGTCATGCAGATACTGAACAAAATCCTCGGCTCTTCCCTCCAAGGGGTCCTCCCACGCTTCCTGGTGGAGCAGGGAGCGGGTCACCCTAAACAGGGCGGCCGAGCGATTATCTGATGACGCAATAAGAGCAGCAAAATGAGTACATTTTGGCTGCCTTCTGACAAGCAAAATCGATAGGGAAGTCAGATTCACTTAACAACTGTGTAACCAACTTAACAACTGTAGTGATTCACTTAACAACAAAAAAGGTCATAAAATGACAGAAGAAAGGTTGAAAAATGAGGCAAATTCACTTAACATATGTTTAACTTAGCAACAGAAATTTTGGGCTCAATTGTGGTGCTAATTCGAAGACTACCTGTAGTTAGGCATTTGCTAAAAGTTAACATTAGCTTGATGGTACATAATCAAATCAAAATAAACCTCACTGTAAGACTGATCACTTGCTTAGAATACACAAAAATGTCAATTTCTTGGAATTCCATTTACTAAGCTTCCATACGCACTACTGTTACATATGGAATGACTTTCTGAAAAAGATCAGAGAAGAGCAAGATATGAAATTCCACAAGAGGAATTTATCTTGCATTCCTAAAATCACACGGCCAAATTAAACAAGGCCTCATCCATCCGATCAGCAGTTCCCTTTCTGAAAACTTAGTGGCACACTTTGAGAAAATTGAATTACCTCTGGAAAGTGGGAAGTGAAAGACTTTCAGTTTTCTGTTCTTAGAAACTCTATAGCAGCCATTTATTTTAAAACTTTTTCTCTAGACTAATTTTTATGCAAGGAAGGATTTCTTCAATTGGAGGATCAAACTCAAACCTACCTTCTATGTGAACTGCAGTCTTGATGAAATTCACCTTTCTCTTCTATATTA